CTACCAGCGATGAGGGCAGCAGCAGCTGCAGCTGGGACACGCCGGCGACGATGGCGACCGGCCTGGAACAACGATTTGCCTGCCGTTGGGGCGAATGCGGCAAGAGCTTCCCGCGACCTAGCGATCTCACGTGAATACCCCTTTTCTTGATGTATTTCTCCTTTGTCATTCTCTTGGTCTCCGACTTTTTCCATACCGTTACCTGCATTGCATCGTCAAGATGCGACCCCATACTTCACTTTCAACTCTCCTCCACACGCGAGAAGAGGCGACAGCCTGTCTATCCGCTTTTATCTACATGACCTTCAAGATTTGTTGTCCTTCCATTTTCCAGCCTCACTTGGCACAAGTCTGAATTAGCGACTAACACGCGGAAAAAGCAAGCACGAGCGGTACCACATCAAGGACTACCACTGTGACGAAGTCGACTGTTGCAAGGCCTTTGCGACGCACAAGGACCTGAAGCGCCACAAGAAGACGCACGAGAAGCTGGATGGCGGCGCGGCGGCGCAAGGCTACCGTTGTCGCGTGCCCGGATGCCGAAAGGCCAAGACGGGCCATGTGTACAATCGTCGCGACAACTTTACGCGACACCTGCGAACGAAGCATGCGGAACTGAACTTTGATGTCAAGGAACTAGGGAGTGGCTGATGATGTGATGAGTCTCCTCTTCTTCCTGATGCGTCTCTCTTTTTTTTTTCCCCACATCTTTGTTTATTTTTCTCTTTTGGTATGATAGACTTTGATACCAGGACTGAAGCTCCACGTGAGCCGAGAAGGACCTTTTGCCAGTGGTTTTCCTCTTCTTCATTTTTACTTCGGATGTATCGAGATGGACATTATAGATGGATACACTATGGGACGCACTCACGTGGCGACGGGAAACGAAGTAGCGTTGAGTACTGTTGAGAATTGCTCGTCATGACGCTGTCTGCACTCCTCAATATAATGGTTGACCACACCTGAATATCTCAAATGGTGCCTGTTTGTGTATGATGGCTTCGAATGGAAGGACCATTACGTCGGGGGTGTTCTCGCTTGGCCTTAGCCGGGAATATGTCCGGTTCTTCCATGTGTTAGGTAAGCTGCAGAGAGTGTTGCTACATTCGTAGGTAGGATCGTGAAGCTTGCTTGAACACGGGCTGCTAGCAGCCCATCAGGTAGAGAGTCTCAACTTCAAAGACATTTACCGCGTCGACTTGATATGTACGCATCCGCATCAGTCCGATTGTCCAACGTTGAATATCATCCGCAGTGACTGTGCTCGGGTGTGCTCGGGCGCTCGGGATGCCGCCTCGTAGGGCGATGACGTTACAGAGGGGCTCGCTAGTCGGCTGCTCAGGCACATGCAGGGACGTGGAATGACCCCGCTGCTCCCGGCCAAGCTACAGGTCGCTAACAGGTTAATGTTGAGACCCAAGCTCCCCCCCCCCCGCGATCGTCATCTTTTTGCGTCTTCCCTAAAACATCACCTCGTCCATCCGACACAACCACAGCTGGCATCTCACTATGGCGTCGGCATTCCTCCGAAGCAAGCAGACAGGCATGCAAAATGACCTGTCTGCTGCTATCTTGCCCGACCATTTTGCTCCCGACGAACAAGCACGATACGGCATCAACTCCCAGATCAGGTGAGCCGGCCCTTCGACGCGCGTCCTTGCAAAACCAACTGCCCTTCCCCAAGAACATCCCAAAACATCCCGAGATTACGCTGACGACTCCTGCACTGCAGCTGCTTCGCGTACGAACCCATTCAGTCCCTTCTCGCCATTGCGACAAACGAGTCACAATTCGGCCCCGGAAAGATCTTTGTCTTCGGCCACACGCGCGTCTCCAAGACGCTTGAACCGCCAAGACGCACATCCTTCCGAGCCCTCCGCTTCACCGCCAACCGACTTATTGCCCTCGATGCCAAGAATGACCTGACCATCTGGGACCTTGATTCGGGTGAACGTGTCGCCGGGCAAGTCATCTCCGGCAACGTCGTCGCCCTCGTCACCGACCCCATGCTCGACTGGGCCTTCCTGGGGCTAGCGACTGGCGAAGTGCTGGCTTACGACCTCGACCGCGAGAGGATCTCCAACTCTTTCCGCTTGCCCAACTTTTGGCGCGAGCATGACCCGAGCGCCAGAGCCGTCGGCCTTGTCCGTCTGGCCCTGCACCCCACCGACATTGGCAAGCTCCTCATCGGTTACACGACTGGTGCTGTCATCTACTCCTTCAAGCAGAACATGCCGACCAAGTTCTTTGAGTATGTGCTACAGCCCGGCGCTCCAGGTGGAGGCGGTGGAGCTATCAACTCGGTCCGCAAGCCGCGGTTGACGGACGCTCTGTGGCACCCGTCAGGCACTTTTGTGTTGACAGCCCATGATGACGGGAGCATGGCCTTTTGGGACCCCAAGGACGGCAGGCTTCTGGCGGCACGGACGCTTGAGCACCTCAAGGTTGATGAGGTTGCGAGCGGTAGCACGCCCGCCACCTTTCATGAGACGTACGCGCGCATTGCTTGGTGCTGCAAGCAGAACCCCGACGACACGGGCTTATTGATCGCAGGCGGCCAGCCCCCTGACGCCCCGGAAAAGGGGTTGACCTTCATCGACCTCGGCCCTACGCCGGCATATGCCACAGCGTCGTGGCAGGTCTTGCAGGATCACTTCAAGGGTAGACGCCAGACGGTCCTTGCCACTCCGCCTGGCGCCGAGGTCATCGACTTTCTGCTCTTCCCCCGCTCCTCTCCGCACTATGCCGGCTCACATGACCCAATCGCCATCATGAGTCTCCTGACCTCGGGTGAACTCATCACCATGAGCTTCCCATCCGGTTATCCTATCACGCCGACGAATCAACTCCATCCCTCCGTGTCTCTGGTCCACCCCTATGTTTCCCGCTTCGCCGTGCAGACTGTAGACCGCGGTCGCTGGCTCGGCATGACCGAGATCCGCAACCAAGGCGAGCCGTTACTCAAAGGCGGTGCCGAGGCGACGAAGCCATCGCGGAAGTATCAGGACCGCACCATTCTGCAGGTGGCGCACGGCGATGGTACCGTCAGGCTCTGGGACTCGGGCCACGGCGATGAGATTGAGAACCCAAAGGTGCTCCAGGTTGACGTGGCACGAGCCCTCGAGCGCGACAGCAACGTCGATGTCACAGTCATGAACATGGCCCCCAACACGGGCGAGTTCGCCGTCGGAACGAAGACGGGCGAGGTCGTCATCTACCGGTGGGGCGTCAATAGAGGCCACGGAAAAGACCAGCAGCAGAAGGTGGCCTCCAACCCGGGCGGTCTCACGGACATCGCCGCAAGGGCGGAACCGCCACTGAAGGAGGGACTGCAGCCTATGAGCCTCTACGAGATGATGCAGGGCCCCATCACAGCACTGTGTGTCTCTGACGTCGGTTTTGTCGCTGCTGGCTCCGAGAATGGCTTCTTCAGCATCATTGACTTGCGGGGCCCCTCGATCATATTCCATGCCTCCATGACTGAGTTTGCGAAGCACGAAAAGCGATCTTCATTCCTCAAGAGCTCTCACAGTACGACTGGACCTAAGGAGTGGCCTGTAGCGATTGAGTTTGGCGTGATGACGCTCGAAGGCGATAACTACTCGAGCATCTGTTGCTTCATGGGCACGAACCTAGGCCGCGTCGCAACTTTCAAGCTTCTGCCGGCCAACAGCGGCTACACGGCGCAACTGGCTGGTCTTCAACACTTCGACGGCAAAGTCGTCGCACTGTGTCCGATTGTAGCTGAGACCGGAAAGCCTGCACTGGCAACGGGCGCTGTTGTTGCTGGCTTGCGCAGCGGTCAGCAGGTCAACGGCATGCTCGTGGCTGGTAAGTCATCCCTGACACCGGATGTCTGGCGCTGCTAACCATTGCTAGTCACACAAACTGAAATCCGCATCTTTAAGCCCGCCACCGGCAAGGGCGCCTCAAAATCATTCGACGACGCCCTTTGCGACGCTGCCAACGTGACCGAATACGAGCTCCGCGGCATGGCAATTGTGGGTGTGTTTGGCGATCGGACCACCCGCGCCTACACAATCCCAGGCCTCAAGGAGATCAACATTGTCCAGTTGCCCATGCTAGATGCTAGCCGCACCATCGGCGCCGCAGTCACCACGACTGGCGACGTCTTTGGCTGGACGGGACCCAGCGAGCTCACGAAACTTTCGGTCTGGGGCGCAGGCCAACCCTTGCCCAGGAGCGCAGACGTCATGATCAATCCCCAGCTCACGGCACCAGTGAGACCAACCATCTCTAACATCCAGTGGCTTTCTGGAACGCAGTACGTCAGTCCCACGGACCTCGACCTCCTCATCGCCCCGGACAGGCCGCCGAGCAAGCGCATGATGGCGGCCGCCGCCGCCGAGCAGCGCGCTGCGAGGGGTGGCGGCGCTGCCGCGGGCGGCGCGGGTTCCAGCAACGAAGGGTGGGGAGACTACCTCACACGACAGCTCAACGAGAGGACGGAGAAGCTCAACATCATGGGTGACAGCATGGACAACCTCCAGAATCAAAGTCAGGGATGGGCCGACGACGTGGGGAAGTTTGTGAACAAGCAAAAGAGGAACATGGTCACGGGGGCGCTGAAGAGCAAGTTCTTCTAAGGGGCACGACCTCGCAGCGCGAGTAGATGGATATCGATGCATTGCAGGCGTTGGGTGCTACTGGTCTAGGTTCGCGGTATTCGGGGAGAACCTTTGCCGTCGGCGTGTTTAAGCCGTCCGGGTTCCAGGTTGGAACCACAGCAAACTTTACTCTGCCTCTTCGCCGCCCCCAAAACTTTGGATGAGCCAGCGTGGTGATACTTGCTGACCGGTAGGTACAGCAAGGTTTCTCTCGTGCCTGTCACGGCGGATTGAGTTCGGTCATCAAGGCCACTACGATCCATGTATAAAGCAGGCGATGCCGCTTTCTGTTTTGTTTCCGGCCTTCCCCCTCCCAGGTACCATCGTCACTGCGTCCTACTTGCCATCGTATCAAACCCGCATAACTTCGTGATGAAACCCGCCATCCTTGCCGTGGCCGCTGGCACGCTTCTCGCCGGCAGCATCACCGCCGCTCCTGTCGCCACAGTCCCCGTGCCCAGCGCACCCCAAGACTGCCATCCCACAGCCAGCGACCCCAACGCCTTCACCTACGAGAAGATGGGCCAGATCGCGCAACAGGACGTGCAGCTGCCGCCCGTCATCGAGCGGCGCGGCGCCCACCCCGCTGACGAGGACATCTTGCACGAGCTCGACCGCGGCAGCGCGAGACCCGTGCCGCACGATCTGCTGCGGCACAAGAACGAGAGCGAGGCGACGGAGCCGCGCAACAGCAAGGTGCGGGAGATGAGCACCGACGAGGAACCCCGCGCGCTGCACGAGGGGGCGTCCGCGCCCAAGATGAAGCGCGGCATGTTTGACACGCTAGCCAAGCTTTGCAAAGGTATGGGGGGAAAACTCCATGCGCCGTCCTGCAGCGTGTGGAAGCCGTGGTTCTACTCGAGCAAGCAGTATGAGACCAAGCCGCCCTACAAAGAGATCACGCCGGAGTTTAACAAGGCGTGGAAGGACAGCGAAAAACGCCAAGGCCTGAGGTGGAAGAACCTGTCCAAAGCAGGCATTCGGGAGATCAAGAACCGAAAACCGCCAACGCTGGCGCCAGGAACGGCTCTCCCAAATGAGCTTTCCCCGCCTCTCTCCCCAGAAGAGATAGCTAGTTTTGATGAGTAGAGCAAAGGCCAACAACAAACAGTCCAGAATGTTTAGATCCCGCTTCAGTAGCTGAAAGCTTTTCAATGGTAAATTGTCCTCGGACTACGATTGTTGCAGTCACGTGGCGACGTATCAACTTGATAAACTTACCTTGTATGATTTGGCTACCTTGAACCTGCCTGCAGGTTCACAAAGATATCAACCCGCAGCTTGTATTCCCATGATATCACTTACCTCTTATCGCCCTTTGCATTCGCCTCGTCGTCAGAGTCCTCTCCCACCACGAAGGGATTTGCGTCCCCATCTTCGTCCTCCCGTACGGGCGGTAACCGCGCCGAGGGGCGCTCGCTTGGAGTTTCTTCCCAAAATGTCATCTGCAATCCTTCCTCCTCCTGCTCTGGATGCCAACGTTCTAGAATGGGAGAGAAGTGGTCAGCATTCGACGCGGGATCCGGTGTCTGAGTCACAGGGGCTCTCAAATCATCCGCATTGTCACGTTTCGGTCTTGTGCCGCCGCGTGTGTCCCAGGGGAGAGCGGGCTCGCAGGTACAGCAGCTGAGCTGGCGCTCCAGCGACTTGACTATACCCAGATATGTGAGATAGAACTCTCGCCATTCCTGGCGCTCCAGGTCAAATGCCTTGAGCTCGCGGCGCCGCTTGCGTGCGCAGAGGAGGAGCATAATGCCACATGAAAATATGAGAACGAGTGATATAACGGAGATGATGATGGGTGCAGTACGATTGTGGGGTTCATTGGTGGTGTCGGTCGCGCCAGCGTCGGTACGAGCCACGACTGAGGGTGCCATCATGACTGATCTCTTGGGGTGACGCGTACTTCCGTATTGGTAGTGTGAATGTTTACAATATATGAGTCCAGTAAGACGATGAGTGCAAGTTTAAATCATTCATGTTCGCCCTGCAACGCGAGCCATGGTGTCTCTTTTAAGCCTCACAGAGCATATTTCGGGTGGAGAGTTCGTGTTTCCAGTGTCTTGATACAAAGGCGTTGACGAGAGACACATGCGCTGTGGGTGTTTTGACAAAGCCTAGAATGAATGGGACACCAGGGACAGATTGTGTAACCAGACAGAATGGCACAGACCTGGTTCTTTCATGTCTGGAGAGGATCGCTTTGTTCGCTTCTGCGGCCTGGCGTTAACCCCTGGTTTACAACAGCCATTATTGTCAGCACCACAAGGGCATTTGATGTTTCGACATCTTGCAGTAATGGAAATGAACCATGGAGGGTGTCTTGCCTTGGGGAGGGGCACCGACAGAAGATGCGCCGGTTGACCCAACCCCTAACATGATGATGAAAGATCATGTCAGGCTCGACCGAAACGGCAGTACCGGGGCGAATGGTCCGGTCCATCGGATGCCGCTCCGATCAGACAGACTGCCATGGGCGCCGCCAGACGCGACGGCTGGGGTGTGGTGGAAACCGGTCTGTAGCTGGTGGGCTTGGCTTTCGATCCGAGCTGGCCTAGGCTCCCCGGTGACACCATCCGATGACGACAAGGGGTGATGCGACTTTGGTGATTGCCAGACCGGCGCAGTCGATGGCCCCCGGGAAATGGTCACGAAGAGGGTGCGGTGGCGGAGACATCGCCAATAACAGTTCACTGCCCTGCCATCCGTTGTCAGTGCCCAGTTGGAAGGTGGAGGATGCTCGGAACAAGAAAGAATTGTCGCACCGGTTCCGAGGGCAGTCGTCTTCACCGAGCGGCTTGTAAGGATCATCGGCCGTCGGAGAGAATTGACCGGAGGTTCAGCTGTAACGGGATGGAAAGAAGGAAGCGTGGTTATTGAAGAAACCCAGAAATCGGCCCATGCTTGGAGCGAGCAGCTGTCCAACTAGGGGCAATCGGGAGGGAGAAAGATGTTTGGGCGTGCAGGACCTGGATGTGTTTTCCTTGGAGCTGCTCCCTTCAGGTTCAGGTCGAGTTCTCGAGTTCTTGGAGGAAGCTCAGTCTCCACCTGGTTATCAAGGTACGGTACCAGGCAGGCATACAGGTACCTGGAGGCATGCGTGAAGATGATCGTGATCTGCGATGCTATTGCCTCTCATGTTCAGTTCCTGCTTCACTGTGCCGAGGGGAACCTACCGCAAGGAAAGTGCGCCCCTGTGCCCCTGTGCCCCTGCCTTGAGCCCCTGTAATCGGCCCCCACTTCTCAAACGACGCCCCCCCCCCCCTATTCCCATCCATCATCATCTATCATCTGACATCCATCCATCTTGCTCTTGTCTCACGGCGGCTTCAGCCATTATCAACATCGACGGCTGGAGGTCCTACCGGGCTGTATTTCCTCGTCGCCCTTCCACCAAGCTTTCGCATATCCCGCAGTCTATGTCTAGAAGCACAAAAAAATTAAACTGCCGAGGCTTCTTCGTTGTGCAGGTTCAATCACGAACAACCTTCCCCCTGAACAGCAACCACCGCCACACTCCATCTACAGCATCATGGTGACCGAACCATATCGCGAATGACACACCGTTGCCATGTTCTCACGGGATCAATATAGGCCGGCGATGACCGGTGATCCCACTCGTCCGTTTTCTTTACTTTCTTCTCCACCCCCCTCCCCCCTTTGACTGCTGACAGCCGCGCATCCTTTTCAGCTGAGCAGCCCTCCCTCCCAGTCGTGCAGATGCGACAGTAAGGGTGCCTATATCAATCGACCTGTGCATCTGGAATGGCAGGCTTCCCCACCGCCACGGCTTCCCGAGATTGACCAAGATCTGGTTACATTGTATTTTCGGCAGCGTATCGCATCTAGTCTCGGCCAGCAAGGATTCAGGGTTTGATGTGGTCGACAACAGCCTGGGCGGACTACCCTGCCTCGCAGTGTCCCAAAAGTGTGGAGGGAGTGGGACCCAAACATCAAACTGAGAGCACCAAGGCAGATCCAAGCCGGGCAGTTTTGGCATTGCGTCCTACCGCCCAGGGTCCTGCGGGTATCGCGCCTGCCACCTCTCAGCCAGCAATCTTCGAATCATGCTGCAGGATTGGAGATGGTGATCTAGCCTCCTAACGCTGCAGCGGCTCAGTTCTCAGTTTTGCGTGCTCAGAGGAGAGACGAAGAACCACACACCTGGGCATTGGCACACGTGTTTGGAATCATGCTTGCTTTTCAGCATGGAGCTCAGCTAGTCCTCGGTGCGCCCCATGTCCCTTTAGCCATTGAGATCTTGTCGTGTCGAATCGTATCCTTGCTTCACCCATATATCTGAACTCTTATTAAATGGTCAGTAGCACAGGAACCCCGAGTTTTCGTACCAACTGTGTTCTGGGTCGGAGTCCATGAAGGTATTGGAGCTCTGTTGAGGAAAGATATAAGATCGGTTGCCCACAACGATCAAAGCATCTTGTCTGACATCCCACTCTCTATTCAACCTATAATAACCCCGAAACAATTGGGAAACCGTCACCAAAGTCGAACATGAGTGCTGCAACACCTGTTCAGTGCACTTCTGTCAAGAGTGCCAGCGAAGCTTGCGGCGACAAACATATCGACATGTCGCTCGACGCTCACCACAGCAACTGCGATGAGTAAGTCTAGGATGGTTTGTTCGTTTCAACGTTTGCATCTATATCAAGCTAACGTAATAGGATATGCTGTAGTCTCCTGAGCAGTGGTACGGATGAAGAAGCGACACAGCTCCAGATCGACAGAACTGCGCGTTTTCTCGATGACCTCGACACAAACCCAGTAGAACGCATACTTGCCGGTCTCCTTCCATCAGACAGGCTCGTCTTGGGACAATGGTTTGGTGGAACGGGCCCAGATACCCGGCACCCGCAGCGTCAGCGCGTCGGAAGGGTAGGGCTACCCGTCCGTTGCCGGAACCCAGCCAACCGCAAATCGCTCCGCAGAACCCATAAATGATAGGGTAAAGAGGGGGGGAAGTGTCGATATCCGAGCTGGCGAGCTGAGCGAGGGGCCAATCGATATGAATGTGATGAGATCACTACTTCTACGTTGTCACATATCACATTCAGAACATTGGTGCACACAATCCCATGCATCGTACCCAAGAACGCATATCTGTTAACGATCTGCGAATCTCGCAAATCCTCCGTCTTGTGGCTTGAAGGTACCCATGCCCATTATAGGAGGCTTGGGAGGGTGACCAGGGGCTCACATCCAACGATACGCGAAGCAAAGGACGTATCGGCGCTTTCGTCCCAGCATCCGGCTTGCTCCACGCCTTGACCCTTGTGCCCCTTGCTTCCCACACCGGTCGTGGGCGGGATAACATAGCAAGTAAGGGCCCACCATGGATGCCAGGTCAGGTCTCACGAGGCGATGTGTATTCCCAGGCCGCCCACACACCACTCGTCTCGGCCGGTGTGGCTGGCATGCAGCGCTGACCTTGTTGTACCACCTGAAGTCGTGAATCATAGGACTTTGGCTCAGGTCACAGGCTTCACCAACGACACTTCCCATTAGGTATCGATATTGGCCGTCGCGACCGCGTGCATGCGATTCGTTGCGGCCAGGGTGGTCGACGCTTGATGGAAAGTCTTCATGTTCGTCTCCGCACACCGCAGGCGATTCGGCCGGGTCCGCGATCAGGCTGGTGAGTGGTGTCATGTCCCAGGTCTCGGGTTTCTTCGACAGGCATTCGGGACCACGTCAAAGCTCAGACGTCGTTTCTGCTCTTTTCTTTTTCCGAACCTGATCACACAGGCTTGACGGGACACTTGGGCGTTTGCTACTCTGCCTCATCTCTGTAAATTGGAAAAACCCACCTGAGGACGAAGGATTAAGTACAGGGGCAGGGGCCGGAATGGCCGGATGTCCCAGCCGGGGCCGCTCGGAGCTTTCCTTCGCGTGAGCATGGCATGAAATGCAGTCCTTGGGACTCTGTCACATATTGGATCGGGCAGCAGCAGGATTCTGCATCTTAGAATTTCTTCTTTCTGCCCTGGCACCTGGGTTATGTCGCCCATATGCTCGACATGGAAGATTTGACACGCAACATCTTGCGCGTGACACAGCATCCGGGCCGTCATGCTGCCCTGCTTGGCCCGCCGCCGAGAACGTCTTGGCTTTGTTTCTGATGCTGCTGGTGGCACGATCGAAGTGACCTACCATTCTGCAGATCTGCTTGGACAAGGTGATCGGTCCTCTCGAGCTCAGAGCGGGTGCGCAACCGTTGTAATCCCACTCTTTCCACCGAGTATTGAGCTTCTCGTCCCAAATCTTTATTCAATTCCCTCCCATCAATCAATCGAAACCACAATTCCATCTGCCTTGCTTTCATATGTCGGTACGGGGTGAAGGATCTGTAGCGAGATCTGGCCACAACGTGGCATGAATCAGCGATGCATAGCGATACAGTCATACATCGTAGTTGGTGGAGCTCTATGGGTAAGGTAGCGACTCGGTGTGCCTCCTAACATCTTTGAACAACCCGAACAAGGCATCAATCCGGCACTTTTCGCACAGCTGCGGCTTTCTACGTCCTAGGTCGGCAAAAGAGTCGAAGGGCGCATGAATCTCCTCCTATTCCATGACGCCTTACATTTCGACCGTAGTCACCCGAAAGGCGATTCTACTGTTCGTCTTTATAGTGTGGAATGGCGTGTTAGAGTGCCATGATAGGTAACGCCGAGAAGTGAGTCAAGTCACTTTGACGCCCTTGTGAAGAACCTGGACCCTCTCTCTTCTTGTTTTCTAGCATCCATGTCTAGCTAGGGGCTGATCCAAGCAAACGCCAATCTCCTTTCTTCAAGACCATGTGAGATGGGTCATGAGGGCAGTCTTGGCATGACGTGAGAGGACTAATATCAATATCAACTGATGCGTTGCTTTGGATCCAGGCGATGTGCTCACTAGGCCCGGGAAAGCTGAACCCAGAGACGAGGCGGCGCTGTAGTAGGATTCTCTACCCTCGCATGATGCCAGCCTCGCTGGCCTTTTCGGCCCTCCGCGCATGGCAAGTCGATGAGAGCTGAGCTACAGTCTCTCTTCCATTTGGCAGCTATGACGAGCGCTGCTGCGCCAACAAGAGGCATATGAAAGGCTCGGATGACAGGGGCGGGGAGATATCGATCCATGTGAAATTATGGCAAGAAGCAAGGTCTCTGGGACGATTGTGAAAGGAAAGTGGGCTTGATAAAGTGTACTCAGGAAGTAAAACCGCGTTGCTGCTATCCAGGCCAGGCTTGCCAACCGATGTAACTGGGAGACGGCAGGACAAATAGCTGGACAATGTCAGCTTCTGCATCCAAACCCTAGTGCAACGAAGCACTTGCCTCTTCCTGTATCCTGTGCTCGAATATAGTGAGCTTATACTATTCGAAATAGTCGGAACGCAATGTCTCTTTGCAGAGCACACGGGGTCCGCTGCTACACGGTATAGTTCCGAAGGGCTGACGCTGATGCACTTCTGTTGGCCTGACAGTGTCTGCTTAGAATCCTCGGTTGACGAGAATCGTGGGCCTGGCCGTTGGGCAGGTTGATGACGATGCTGACAGATTTTGCTTGCCCGTGATGAGAATGGCCACTTTGACATCTTGGGGGCTGGCTATCGGAGGGTTCCGATCCGGAGTCTCTTAATCGCCTTCTCTTAGGCCTCTTCGATAGAGCCATTCGTCACGGTTTGTTCCTCGAAAGCTTTAAACGTCTTGAAAAAGACAATCATCTCGAAAGCATCGCGCCGCAGACCGCCTAGTAGCCCACGGTTGCAACAACAGAACACAAGGCTTCCCTCGTCTGCTGGCTGTTGGCACACCTCAATGTGCCTGGCCCGGTTTGACCTACATGTAAGATGTGCACCATTGATTTACGACACCGACGCCGCCGCCGAGAACGAAGCAGCAGACGCAGCATCCGCCGCCGCCGCCGCCGCCGAAGCCCGTCCATCGCCCAGCCTATCCTTATCGATCCAGGTATCGACGCCATCAGTATTCATAATCTCGCTGAGATCCAGAAACGCCAACACTTTGGTGAACTCGCGCACATAGCCCGCAGCCCGCTGCGACACGCTCTCGCCGAGCAAAGAGGGACAGTTCAGCAGCGACGTCGCGACGCCGCGAATCTTGTAGGTGAGACTGTTTCCATTCGGCTCAAGATGGAACCCGTCAATGTTGTGCAAGACGTGAAGGAGCTGGCGGCAGATGTCCTCGCGCTCTGCCCAGCTAGACGCGAGCTGATGTGCGACCCAGGCCTCGTCGTCGCCGGCGCCTCTGCCGCCGCCGCCGCCGCCGGCCGCGGCCATGGCCTGCACGATGCCGTCCGTCTGGTCGAGCAGGAAGCTCTGCAGCCAGAGGTGGGTGATGTGGATGTTGGCCCTCGTTGTCTCGGCCTGGGCGCGGGAGACGCTGTTCGCGGCGGGCGTCGAGGGGCCGCTGTCGTAGATGCTGCTGGGGCCCCATTGGGTCATGTGCGACGGCAGGGCGTCGAGGGAGTATTTGTAGCGCTGGAAGAGGGCCTTGAGGCGTGCGAGCTTCTCCTCGTTGGTGCGGCCGTAGCCGCAGTCGCAGCCTGCGTTGAAGAGGGAGTCGCGCAGGGCTTCGAGGAAAACGCGCGTGTTGACGATGAAGGCGGTGACGGAGGTGAAGGGGGCGGTGCCGTCGGGGGGCGGCGGACAGACGGCGTTTTCTGTAATGTTCTCGTCGGGCGTGTCGAGGGGCTCGAGGGCGGCGAAGTCGACGTCGCGCAGGACGTAGTTGTCGAGATATGTGACGTGGAAGCGGCGCCGGCCAGGCTGGACCTTGGAATGGGCGAAGGAAAAGAACTGCAGCCAGAAGGCTTTCTTGCGCAGCTGCGTTTCGATGCAGTTGAGGCCGCGGTATTCGGTCGCGTGCAGGTGGAAGCCGAGGAGCCTGGCGAGCTGCATGGCCTCCGAGTCAAACATGCGGTACTGGTTCATCCGGCCGACCTCGAAAGCGGCCGATGCCAGCGTGTACGAGATGGCCCATTTGCGGTGGCTGATCTCGTCCCAGTAGTCGGGTGGTCGCAGGCGCAGACACATCTGCGAGGCGTATGTGATGATGGAGGTTCGTGTGGGAAAGCGAGCGGCGGCCTCGGGGTCCATGGCGCGGTAGTCTTCAATCCGCGAGCGCAGGACCCCTATCGTCAGAGTGAACAAGGCCACGAGCAGAAGCATTTGCTCCGTATCATGGACATCTTGATTGCTGGCAAGGCTGCGGCGGAATGAAGGGAGGTGGACCACGGGGCAGAGGGGATAGACGCGCTCAATATAGTCATGGATGATGACCTTGAAAAGCTCCCTCGAGCAGAGTTCATCCGTGGCGAACGCGAATGTCGACAAAGACCCCGGTGATATCGACTGGCCGAAGGTGGATGTATGGTCCGGCGTCAGCACGACGCCAGCGTCGTCGTCAGTGTCTATCTTGTCGCTACTCGCACCGCTGTGCACTGAGGTTCGTGGTGGATAATGGGCTGATGTTCCGTCCATTGGCGGTCCAGCTCGAGAGTCCATCTCATACTTCCTCCGCTTTGGCCCACGAGGACGCGTGGGGATGGCAAAGTTGCATTCGATTCCAAGCCTGGAACAGCCTATGCACCTCGTGCTGCCGTCGCCGCCGTCCTCCCCTGGGCCAAGGGGGAAGATGCATCGCCTCCTGCGGGCGCGACAGGCATCGCAGGCTCGTGCGGCCAGTCGCCGGGGCTCCACGGGCGCGCTCGCTCGACTCGGAATCGAGGTCGAGGCCTGCGCTTCTTGATGAACATATACGACTGTTTGGAGGTCTGATAATGCGGGTGCCATACCCTCGTCTGGGGGGGCTGGGACTTGCAGATCCCAGGCGTACTACCTTAGTGGAGGGGAAGACCCAAGATGAGGACAGGGAAAATCGGCAACATGCCGGCAGTGGGAGGGAGCTGAGAGGGAGAATTACAATCTACCATGTACACACACACCTCCACGTTCCCCGCCTCAGCCCCTGGTTCGCCCGAACCTGGCGTGTTCGTGGGCTCATCTGTTCTGCGTTTAGCGCGTCTGACATCGGATTGGGTTTATTGGAATTCCACTATTCTGCCGCAGGGCGGTCAAGGAATAAATAAGGTCAAGTTTGTCCCTCAGACGAACGACTTGACAGAACAAATACGAAATAAGTTAGGTTGATGAAGACATTCTATTGACAGGAGGGTTTAGTCAAAAGTGACAATGTCGTTCCATGAGCTGATACTGAGGAGGATGGATGTGGTGGTTTAGTGAGCTGGTGAGCTAGTTTACTAGTGAGATGGCTTGCGTGACTGTATAATTACCCGTATGACTTGAAGGGCGCGGACGGGACGGAGAGCAGGTTGATGGTTAAACGCATGGTGTTTCTTGATATTTGGCAATGTGGTGTCTTACCACGGCTTATTGTTTTGTATTGCTAAATGAGGCAGCTGTTGTCCTTTTTGGTGGGAGACTCTTTCAGGGGAAGAAACTTTGGTTCTTAACGATGGCAGGAAATGGGCTCGTGGTGAAAAGAGCTTCCATGTCACGACGAACCAAGATAAACTCGTCAATGAGATGAAGCAACGGATGAGATGAAGCAAGCCACTCTCACCACTGAGGCCTCATCGAGTACACTGTTGCGATAATGAGTTTTGATCTTTTTTTTCGCCTCCAACTTGCCATTCTACATCAGAGCTCAACACCACTTGCAGACCGTGGCTATCAAGGGATTGTGCACACCTTAACTTTCTCTCTCTCTTTACTTATCGCTGCGATACCCCCGAATAGCGTTTTAATCGCCGAACAAGGTTGAAATAGCCGAGGTAGTAGGCGGATCGTTACGTTAAAGATCCCCAATGCTCAGGCGGAGATACTCTCCACTTCTTCCCCCGCCATGGCTCGAGCGCAACTCTCCGCGCCGGCCACTCCGGGTGAGGTTTCAACCTGTGCCTGGAGTGCCTGGAGTGCCTGGAACAAGCTGGAGTCGAGCATACACTGCTCTTCACGAACCCTGGCTCCCCGCTCAACCTTTTTCAACTCTCCGTACCGGCCGCAAGCCATGTGGCCTGACCCCGATGAATCTCCGGTCTTTCTCCTTCGATTCTCCTTGATTCCCCACGGGCTGAAACCCCAGACAAGCCAACCATCATCTCCATGACTCGCCCGAATCGTATCGCAAGCACCAGCCAAGCCCTTTTCAGCATGGAAAATAGGGCCAAACAGGCTTGGACGACTCAGACATACCCCGCCCGCCCATGGGGGCCCCGTCAATGAACCTCCACTCAGATCCCCAAGCAGCCCAAGGGACCCAGGAAGACCCACGTCCACGTTGGCGAGCGTTCCCCAGACGCAGAACCAGCCCCTTGGCTCAGGGCTACACCGGCCGGCCGGCTATCGGTCACCCGCTAATTGTGACAAGGCGACACCCAGCTCGGCCGGTCACGCAGCAAATGGCACCTTATGCAACGATGCCATCGTCTTGGGCCGCGACTACTTAAAGTCCCGGGACGCAGCCAGGTCCACGACGCAAGTTGACTGGATTCCAGGCTCACCTCACTGTGCAGACAACTCCAACAACCGCTCACTCCCTTGGCGTGGTTCCCATCAGCCATCATGACCGACGCCATCATCTCATCCGCCCAGCAGGGCTCTCCAGTCCCTTGGTGGAAGCAGCCTCACCTGCTGAAGCTCAACTTCATCATCCTGTCCCTCGTCATGTTCTGTGAGTCCTCACCTATCCCCGGTTCGGCCGAGACTACTGCTGGCCCGCCTTCGTCATCCGCGTGCTGACTTTGTCCACCAACAGCTTCGGCCAACGGCTATGACGGTAGCGTCATGGGCGGTGTCCTCGCCCTCAAGAGCTGGAACGAATTCATGGATCTGCCCACCGGCACCTATCTCGGCTGGATCAACGCCATCTACTTCCTTGGCAGCGGTCTTGCTTTCCCTGCCGGCGCCTGGGTCTCCAACCGCTGGGGTCGCAAGCCTGGCATTTACATCGGTTATGCCTTTGTCGTCCTCGGCGTCGGCATCCAGGCCGCTGCGCAGAACGAGAAGATGTTCACCTACGCCCGTCTTCTCATTGGCATCTCGTCCGCCTGGCTGAGCATCTCCGCCCCCGTCCTGCTCAACGAGATCGCATACCCAACCCACCGCGCCATCGCCAGCGCGCTCTACATGTGCGGCTACTACGTCGGCGGCACCATCTCCTCGTGGGTCACCTTTGGTACGAGGAACTTGGACTCGGACTGGGCCTGGCGCATCCCCATTCTTCTTCAGATCGCCCTGCCCCTCGTTGCCTTGCCCGGCTTCCTCATGGCTCCCGAGAGCCCACGTTGGTTCATCAGCATGGGCCGCACCGAGGACGCAGTCAAGGTCCTAGCCGAGTACCATGCCGGTGGTGTCATTGAAGACCCCATCGTCGTCTCCCAGATGATCGAGATCGAGACCACTATCAATGCCGAGAAGGAGGCCAGCAACAGCGGCTCGTACCTCGACATGTCCCGCACCCCCGGCAACCGCCACAGGCTCGCTATCTCTGTCGGACTCGGCTTCATCTCCCAGTGGGCCGGTAACGGTGTCGTTTCCTACTACCTGCCCCTCGTGCTCAACTCTGTCGGCGTCACCTCCGTGACTAACCAGACCCTGATTAACGCCTGCCTTAACGTGTGGAACCTGCTATGGGCCATCGCCGCCGCCGCGTCCGTCGACCGCCTCGGCCGCCGCCCTCTGTTCCTCGCGTCCGCCGTCCTCATGTTCGTCAGCTTCGTCATCGTCACCGGTCTCAGCGGTTCCTTCGCGCAGGGCGGATCCTCCAGCGTCGGCCTGGCCGTCATTCCGTACCTCTTCCTCTTCTTCGCCGGCTATGACATTGCCCTGTAAGTCGCACCCACCGCATTCCCACACACGGACTGTACAGAGTGTCGCTAACGGATTGTCTGATCACAGCACCCCCTTCCTCGTGGCCTACCCCGTCGAGATCTGGCAGTTCAGCCTCCGCTCCCGCGGGCTCACCGTCACGTGGATCACGGCGCTCGCCTCCATCTTCCTCAACACCTTTGTCAACGGCCTGGCCCTCGAGCAGCTCGGCTGGAAGTACTACATCCTGTTCTGCGTGCTGCTTCTGCTCTGGATCGTCTTTGTCTGGTTCGTCATTCCCGAGACAAAGGGCCACACGCTCGAGCAGATGGCCGTCGTCTTTGACGGCGAAGATGCCGTCCCCGCCCAGGCTGTTGTGCTGCAGGAGAAGCTGGATGAGGATGCTGATGTCGCGCATGTGGATGCGCGGGATGAAAAGTAAATTCGGGAAAGGGGGTTTCAGACGTGCTAAAGCTAGATACATTCGACAGTACTGGATTGTCATATTCGAGGTCCAGATGAAGAGACTACTTGACATCATCACTTCGTGGACTGCGCCGCGTTTGCACGAGTTTTCTGCAGATTGTGTTTGTGTAAGCCGTGCTGGTATCAAAGGTACCTCTCCTGATCGTTGCCCGCTGTAAAACTCTTTCCGCGGGCTTGTTGCGAGTCACGCGTGATATTTGCTTTCGTTCTACGAGACTCTGCATGTCGCATGTCGTGCTGAGTAGAGAGTCGGGGACCCGCCCGGCTGCGTACGCTTGTAACAGCGATCGATCGGAGGGGCTGGGGAATGCACTAGGGTGAGACTTGGAGCCAGTGAGTGGTTTAATTCACGCGAGGCTGTTCGGATTCACGTTGGGATGCTCGAGTGCAGGCACTCAGCGTTGCTCCTCGAATTACGAATTTGTGTGCAGGTCGTCGAGAATGCTGTCCGCCGGAGATGCTGACAGCGGGTATGAGACACGAAAACTTTCCGCAATGACCAAGGAAGAAATCGAGATCAGATGTCATGGGCCATTCCTGCTCGAAGTTTTCTGTGTAACTTGCACATGGTGCATGCATTGTGTTGAAACAGGGATCTTCAAGAACATTGTGGCCGTTGTCCTCTTGAGATGTCCAGTCTGGAATGGTCTGCTCGACATCTGGTGCCGATAGAAGAATTCGCAGATTAGCGACGCAAAGAGGAACCTCGATAGACGCGTTCGTCTCAGACAGATCTCTCTCACGGGAGTGCCACAGGCCGAGGACGAAAGAACTTATGTCGACGTGTCGGCTGTGGGACACGTCCCAGAGCCCTTCGTGGTGCTGATAGGAGAGGTCGATGAGGCGCCACGCATGTTCGGCAAAGGGGCCGACTGGGCGCCGTTTGAAGAGCTGGCCGAGCAAGAAAAGCAACGAGTCAATATGGAAATGACTCTTGTAATACCAAGCGAAGTCGACGCAACCATGAATCTGTTTCATGATGGATTCGTGGTGGGTGAGCCATATGCGCAAGATGTTGTCCTGGACGTTGCAGACATCCGTCCCCCACTCTGGCGTCTCGCGCATTGGAAGAGCTATACGTCGGACCTTGTCCATTATGGAATGACGCACACACGAGGCAGCTAGATGTATGGGCCCAGCGGAAGGGTCGCAGTACTGCTTCTCGATGCAGAGGAGTCTTGCTTCAAGGCATTCAAAGTCGTTGTGGAACTTCTGAAGACCAGCTACAGACACTTCATACTCCGTAGTGCCAGGCTCAGCCCCCTGCCCTCGGAGGGCAAGTTCCAAGCCGCCCAAAGAATCATCTTCGATGAAGTTGGCTACCTGGGAAACCACCAAACTGAAGACCATCTCCGTAGGGCCAGCCTGGGGCTTGACTTCTGTAGATATGAGCGACATGTCGCTGTCGTTGATGTTCTTTGGAAGCTTGGTGTCCCAACCGGGAGACACGAACTTGCCATTCAATCCCGAGAACAGAGCGTATTTGTGATCGAGCATGACAAGAGGCCACCACAGACGCCGACGCATTTCTGTTTCGAAAGGTGGAAGGCCCAGTCTTTCACCATCGCGAAAAAGCCCCATTTTCTGAGCGAGCCTGATGACAACGCCGCTCATGATCCAAGCAGCGTGGCTATCCAGTCGGCCTTGGAGTGAGATCTTATACAGGCAGTTAGAATGACGAAAAGGGGATCGGGCGTGACGACATACGAGGTATAATACCAAAGCTTGCATGATTGTTGTGTCGCAGTTTGTGAGAAAGTTGACTTCGGTCAAGGCGGCCTTGAGGCACTTGGTCAACTTCTCGACGGCCTCCCATTTCTTGATGCCCAAAATAGCCAAGGCTTCGGCAGAGGTCATTGAGATAACGGACACCAAATAGATAGCAAAAAGCAGAGGCTGGGCGTTGTGGAGAATGCTGCGGTGGCTCATGGCGGCCTCTATCACGACGGGCTCCAATGTTGGCACGTGAATCAGCTTGGTCAAAGGGTTGACCCTTTCGAGGAAAAGCTTCCAAAGCCGAAGGATTTGCACAGAAGTAAGCATATACTCCGCTTGTTGGACTCTGACATAGCTGGCGAGGCCTGGGTTGGCGCCCTCGTTCAAAGCATTAGCATTGGAGGCGTCGAGAGCATCTTCTTCAACGTTCAAGACTTGTCGTATCGCTTGCAGCTAGCGAGGAATAGGTCAGCGTCAAGGAGGGGAGAGATGTATTGGGGTCTTGCGCTCGACGAAAAGAAGTCACACACACATACGTCCTCGTATATGACGGCCCATAGATAATTGTCCACGAACTTGACTTGTCCCTTCTCCACAACAAGCTGACCCGGATGCCGAGTCCTGGAGCATTCCTTTGCCTCCGGGACATCGAGCGCGCCGCGTAGTGAGTCTTGCTTCGGAGCACATGCCAAGCCCGGAGGCCGAGGCTGGGAACGAGAGTTGATGGGTTTGGCAATGGACGATGTGTCATCGGGAGGAAGAGGCGGTGCAAAATTCACATGGGAACCACCGGAGAAGTCGCAATTCTTCAGCAAGGCTTCGCATCTAGCGAGTCTCTCTTGGAGTTCATCATGTTGTCTCCTCCTTGGGCGGATAGGAGCTGCCTGCGTTGGCACGCACGGGATACTGGCCTGGCGGCAGCGTCAGTCCCTTCTGCTGCGGAAGATAACAATCATGCCAAGGATCGTAAGAACCTTGACGCAGGTACTGCATGGCTTTTCTTGGTCGCACTTGACCTTCCGCTTCTGGCACAGAACACATGCCAAGACCCGAGGGTTCTTTTGTGGGTGGTAAACGCCGGTTTGTCGGATGGCTTGCCATTGTTGAGCGTCGTTTAGATCAGTATGAAGGGCTGGGAGATGTGACGATGAAGCCCCGCCCTGGCTGGGTTGTGATGACGTTGGGAGCCCCATGTTATATACAGATGTTACAGTCGTATGATTGTTCCCACAGGTCAATGGAGGCACGGAGGCCAAGGCGGGTCAGGAGCCAGAAAATGGGGGGATATGCGCCACCTGTGGAAGAGGGAGGGGGCGAGGATAAAGGAGGGGAGGGAGAGATAGCCGGCGAAAATAGTTCAAGCTCTCGCGTAGCGTACCAAATCTTAAGCTCACGTGACTACGAGCACTATCATGACAACAGAGTTCACAGCCAATTCGGGAAGCCAGGTTAGCGGAGCCTTAGCTGAAGTTTCTTCGCTGCAAGTTGACCATGAGGACACTTCTAAGGAGAAGCCAGCCCACTTGTTACAATCATTTGGCCGCCTGAAGCTGAGCGTCAGCGTGTTCATAATTTGGTGCGAAATGGCGTAAGCAATGTTTTGTCCGCTTCCAGCAAGGTGGTCCCGGACCGCACAATGTCGCCGTTTCCAATCCCAGGTTCACCGTTTGGTCAAATGGCCATGTTCAAACTAGTCTGATTCCTAGCCAGGTAAAATATGAGAGCCTGGTGTATTCAATTGTTATACATAAAAAGAATTGAGCCGAAGAACCGACGACTTTGTTGTTTGGTGCAATTGAAATGTCTACAAACTACTGAAAACCATGCAATGTGACCAGATGAAATACGAGTGCGTAAAGACAAATATGAAATGAACAACGCCATAGTCTGTGGCAATTGCCAAGGTTCGCCTCGAGAGGGCCAAAGATAGCCATTCCCCAAGCTTTAATCATCCTCGGGTTTAGGAAGACGAGGCCTCTGCTAATGAACAAAAGAATTACGTTCCTCCGTAGTACCCTACAGCTTTGGGTTGGAGAGCTGTCGCAGGCGATTTCCGAAGACGAAAAACACCAGTGGCAGCGGGATCATGGCAACCGACAAGAAGGCCAGGAGACTGTTGCCCCAGCCAAGACCGAGAGCATCGTACATCTGTAAACCCCCCAAAGGAAGCAAAGCACCGGCAAGAGATCGCAAAACCGCCACTGCTGCAGTAACAGAGGCCGCGTAGCGGGGGTATGTGTCTAGAAGGTAGTTCTGGACGCAGATCATGACGCCCATCAGGCCGCAGCTAAAAACAACGACGCCAAGCATAGGTACGATCCAGTGAACACGATGCTCGGCAGACCAACCATAGATGAAGAGTCCGACAGGCAGAACAATAGCGCAAGGCATGACGAGAGCAGGCGTCAATCGTACTTCAGGTGTAACCTCACCCCCCTTTGCCTGCCAGTGCTTGATCATGAAGTCGGACAGAGACACAAAGGTCACGACACCAAACATCATGCCAATGCCGGCTGGGAGGAAAGTAAGGCCAACCTCACCTTCATCAAAACCGTACTCATCCGCGTACACGAAAGAGAAGGTTGCGAGCAGAAGGTAGAGGATACCATAGCCAATCGCGACATAAAAAGCCATCAGCGTGACAATAGGTGTCATGAAGAGAAGCTTTAGAGGTCGCGTTAGGGCAGCAATCCACATCTCCTTGGGTGTTTCGATGCTATCTCGCTTGCCCCTGAGGTTATGGTTATTAGTTTCCATCCGGAGACGGGCGGCTTTACGCTCGAGAAGAATAGGATGGCAAGTCTCTTTCAGGTAGAGAAAGGACAATGGAACAAAAATGCCAGCCTGAAGAGTCTTAGTAATTTGGTCACTAGTTAGGCGTAAAAAGAACTCACCACAATGGCCACCACCCAGTATACCCAACGCCAGCTCGTGGCTTGGATCAGGTAACCGCCAGCAACGGGTCCAACACAGGGGCCTAATAGAGGCCCCAGGGCCCAAGCGGCCATGGCTCTTCCTCTTTGCTCAACGGGCATCAGATCTGCAATGCTTCCGCTTCCAATAGTCACGGGAACTGAACCAGCGAGTCCCATGAGGAAGCGGAAAATCAGCATCATGCCCATATTCTGGGACAGAGCCGTCGCGACTGAGAAGATCACGAAGAGAACATTGCCCCAATTATAAACCGGTGCGCGGCCAAAGGTTTCGCTCAGAGGTGCTACCTAAAAGTCGCAAAGTTGATCAGATGAGATCCATCGGAGACGGAGTATCCATTGAAAAGGGTGTTAAATCATACAAGAAGCGGCCCGAATGCGAAGCCAAGGACGTATATAGACACGGCAAACGTGGCCATTGTTGACGATGATTCGCCAAACTCGACCATGATAGCTGGAACTCCTGGAGCGAACATAGAAGAGCCCTGAAAAGCAGCATGTCAGCAGCCGAGAGACGGACTGTGTCAAGAGTGGTCGATCGTGAAGATATTCCTTACCAGTGGACTGTATCGAGCTCTGGTTAGCTTAGTGTCTGGCATCTTTTGCAGTGTTCTTTCCATACGTTACAAAAGTAAGGCCCGATATCAGGCCAATATTGAGCCATTTCCTCACGTCGGGCCAGTTCAATGGATTTTGAGGGTCATCTGGACCATCCCAGTCGACAGTGTTGGGGTTGCTTCCAGACTCATTGGCGTCATTTGACTGGTTCTTGACCGCCTGAGGATCAACCCGTAGTTCAATGGCTGTCTGGCCAAGATTCGGCGACGATGACGCTTGTTGTTGCTCCACGTCCGTATCCGTCATGCTTGCGTTTGAGGAACCTGGAAGAGGTCCAAAGCTAGACATCGTGTGTTGTGCCGCGGCGTTGACTTGTGTTCTGTGGAAGCTTGTAGCGTCTGTGATATAAGAACTCTGTCTAAACATGTGGTAAGGATGCTGCTATTAGAGGCCAATGGTAAATATTTGTAGTCGGATATCGCAACAGCGTACACCTCATCACCAAAAGAAAAAGGAGAATGAATGACCCTTGTGCTCAAAAGAAGTAGGAAGGGCTCGAATACCTCATACATTTATCAAATACATGCACTTTGAATTATTTTCGAATCCATGTGCATCAAGTTTGTCGGGAATGACAGGCAGCGAGAGCCCGTCGTATTCGCGTTGGGCATTCGCTTTGCTCCAGTGGGTTTCTTCCGAGGCGACCCACCTGGTGAGGGTGGTGTGTTGGAAGCCTAGATTCCTGCAAGGCCCAAGCAAGGCTTTAGTGTACTTCGGAATTGTTACCGCGGATAGTCTGCCGGCAATGCGCCTCACCGACCATCCGCAAGCATCCATGTCGAGGCAGGCATTCTGGACTTGATCTTGGTTGACCTCAGCCAATACCACGGCTTCATAGCCTGAAAGCACATCATTCTAGGCAATAAAAGACGGAACCAAATGAACACGATCGATTACTTGAGACGAGGACATTCTCGAAGGAGAGATACTTGTCGCCAGGTACTTTAGTATAGAGACACTACCAAGTACGCCTATGTAATGAGTGGTACCGGTCAGTTTCCTACAGACTTCATTTTCCGGCCGGTTGTCAGCAGGGCCCATGAGACAGCCTCTCGGCTCTACTTGGAACCAAGCCGGAAGAAGTCGTGTAAGCTTTTGTAAGTAGGGTGCTGCTCAGTTTGCTTTGCCTCGCGTCGATCTCGAGCATGTCCAGTAGCGGGCAAGGCATCCTTGTCATCGCCCGGAGACTTGCCGGGCCCGGTGCAGCTTGCAATCTGATTGGTCGTGATTATGGGTTATACCCGGCTTAGCCACAAAGCTGAAGCTGCGCCTCAGTTCATAGAGAGGCGTGAGCTCGACATTATTTCCTTTCTAAAGGAGTATATAGGCCTAAAGATAAATTCTTCCTTTAGTCTCCTATTGATAGAACTATATAAGGATTATAAGACCCTAACCCCTAGACTATCTTTGTGCACTGCTTACGTAAGCCGTGATCAACATACTCCTAGGAGCTATAAATCCCGGCCCCAGCAATCACCATATCGGTGAATCCCATACGGTGATCACCGCCCCAGGCTATTCCCTATTATCAGTTCAATATATACCTTGATTTCCGCGAACCGCTGTGATAGGGAGTGGGGAGGCTGTGCACTGCAATACAACGTGGCTGACGATGTTCAAGGTAATTACCTAACCGCAGGCTTTGGACCTACCTGATTAAAATTAACTTTGAGTACCTTCCTGGTGAATGCCACCGCCGTGCCTGCATTTAAAAGCACAATCCTCTTCCTACCTTGGATCAGGAAGCACCATACTCCATTCTCTTACATTCGGCACAGGTATTCCCCTCCTGAATCTAGAATCAACGATATCTCCCTGTAGGAGGAATTTATTCTGATCACAGAGATCTTGACAAGATGCCAAATCCACTTGTCACAGGCGGCGTCATGGATGGCACTCGATATCCGGGACCAGACGAAGGCTGTGCACCGCCTAATTGGTTTATCTCGTGTACTCCACCGGTCATCGAGAAGGACACGATCATCGTGGCAGCTACTTCGCCAAATGTCATTAAAGGCCATCAGAAAGAGGACGGGTGGTTTCTCTCTGATTTCTACGCTTTCAACTACCTGCTCCACGGTCTCGGTTCATCACAAACATGGCTCACAGCTGCTGTAAGTCCGCCGCGTAGAGCTGCTCCATGGCCACTTGCACTTGATACCGTGGAAAATTGATCACTGACTTGACGAAGGATCCGGTGAAGCTCCTCAAAGCAGACCCTCGATTCCCAGTTTATTTGCACGGCAACCCTTACCAGGAACGCAAGGTTGTGTTGAGCAACGATCTACTCAAGAGCGGGGAATTGACGCGGGTCACGGTTGTTCGCAGCAATAATATGATCGCTCAGTTCCTCCGTGAAGTACGGCAAGCCTCGAAACAAGCAGTGAAGCAACAGGTTCCGTTACTTCTTCTCGTCTTCTGTCATGGGCTGCCGAACCTCACCATGTTACTCGACTGTGGGGAAAAGTCGAAAGGAATTACGCCAACGACCCTTGACGGAGCCATTGAACCAGGCTGCCGCTATACTGTTTACACGACTGCATGCCACTCGGGAGGGTGGGTCGTCAAGACAACTTCTGATCACTGGCATAGCCCATTAAACACCAGTATGTTGGCTGCGGCTAGTAGAAATACAACGTCAAACGCGTGGCAAGACTCCCGCAGCATTAGCCGTGCTTGTGGATCGGTTTTCGCCAGCGCGGTTATCGAGACATTGACGTGCAATTCAACTCCTCTAATCGACTCTCTCGGTGATGGCTGCGCTGGCGACTCCAACATGCTTCAACCTACGGAGCCGAGCGACACTCAAACAGCCACATACAACACGTTCTGCGACTCTATTCTCACTTGTTGCGCAGATCGAGTTCATCGTCTATGGTACAAGCAAGAGTTTACTTTTAGCGCCCAAAATGACCATTGGGGAAACTCTTGGACCGGTCGATCAGGTATCCCCCTGGGGCATTTTGAGCAACGCTGGAACAAGCTACCCACCGTCGGGTACAATGGTCCGTCTGACGTGAAGGCACTAATGGATCCACATCCTGGTAACCCGACTTACTCGGCCTCAACCGACAAAACAAAAACGGGTGTGGGTGCCGATACCGAGGCCGAATCACTCATTGGTGACCTCATCGAGAGCATCTGTCACAATCGGTTGAAAGTCATGGCCGCCTTGTTCCTCCAAACTTGCCCTGGTGACTGGGACAGCGGTTGGGGGCCGATCACACGGGGCGGCTTGTGGCTAGCAATGGAAGAAAACCCAATACACGAACCAGATTTCGATCCTGTTGCCATGATCACCTTTCGCTGGGAATTGGCTCAAATTGCTGATGATCTGGTCCGCCGCTTCCAACTGCCCGTTCCTGCGCAACAGTGCTGCCTACTTTGGGATTATTCGGAGCACCTTACTCGAAGAGCGAAACAAGGACACAAAAGGTCGGAGCGAAGACGCTGGGTTTACACAGCGTTAGTTGCCCATGAAGTTCAGCCTGTACCAACAGATGAACAAGGGTATCCATTCGAGCGCTTCACTTTTTACCTGACTGCAGCGATCGTCGAGGCGGACCTCGACGACGGGGAAACGAAGTTAGTGGTTGAGGGGATAGCCGATCACATGCGTAAGGCTAAAGCATTCCATGAAATGCGTGCGTTGCGCAGTCCCAACGTCATCCAACGTGCAAGGGAGTGGCTTAGGAGTGTCGGCAAGGAGTTACGGGACCTGAGCAAAGATTCAGGTTGAATGAACACAGAACCATGTTTTGACAAGCTTTCAAGCTTTGGCCCCGTACACCAGCGATTCTGTCAAGGAATCTTATATAGCGAGTGAAGGGGTTAACTATTAGTCTCGTAGGGGTTTCGAGGAAGATAGAAGTAATCGATACCCTTCTCTAAAACTTAGTCCATTAACCTTTCTTAGAACTGTTCCCTCGCTACGCTCGGTCCTCTCTTATTAGTTTCTACGATTTTACAAAAGGCGATCTCCCATTAGTCTTATACCTCCCTCAGGTCCTAATAGATTCACAGCGTTGTCACTGTGGTTGACATGCAGGACCATGACAATATGTCTAAAGACTTGACTGGTTGATGTTCGTTTCTGGCGTTTCATTGTCGACTATTTGGTGTATTGAAATTATTTGGCACCAAAGGGATGGGAGACAGGTCTCGGTTTGGGGGAAAATCTTGCATCATTGCCCTTCCCAGTAACGGCCGGGATGGGCGCGTGGTGGATACGTGCCACCACAGCCGTCCACTGGTGCCAGAACCTGGCGTTGTATTGGTGGCATGGGACTGTCTCAAGGACCACCCGAACCAAACCGAGAGCCAAGAATTTCATCTCATCCGCCTCGCCTGGTCACTGGTCGATCCCAGCTTGACTCGCGCATAACTCAGCCATCTGATTGGCCCATGACGAGGGGGAGTGGTGCAATGCCCCCCCCCCAACCTAGAACACAAGGATTCACGTCCAATCTGCGGCCTCTTCTAGATCTGTGCTGAATGGCTTCACATTGCTTTGTAGCCGCGCGGCAAGCTCATCGACGATTCTCCGACGTGTGTCAGAAACCCCTAATACTGAACCCTGCCATGACAAGGTCCACTGGACTGGTGACTACATCAGAGCGCAACGACCCATCATCTCGTCTCACCCGGTCAGTCTCTTGAATCACAATACGACCCCGACGTGAGATTGAAGATGGCGGATCCTTTGAGTATCACTGCCTCGGTTCTTGGCGTCGTGACAGCCGCCATCGCGACGACAAGATCCTTGAAGGAGACTGTCCAGCGCTTCAGGGACCGTGACAGGACTCTGCGGAGACTCGTGGAGCAGCTCATTGATCTCATCGGCGTACTGGACGCGCTGAAGGAGGTAGCGCATGTTGAAGCGTCAATGCTGGCACTTCTGGAAGGGCCCGTTGATCGCTGCGGTCAACTGTGTCATGAGTTCCAAGTGGCGATGGAAGAATTCGACGGAAAATCAAAGATTGGATTTCGAGACTGGACGAAGATGGAGTTTATGAAGGGTGACATTAACGAATTCATGGACACTCTTTCTGGGTACAAGTCGACGATTTCCGTTGGCCTAGGCACGCTTACATTGTATGTCATCCTATCCAGTGCGATCGGTGGACTGCGACTGAACTCCCCGTCACAGGCAAATGTCCAAAGCCAGCCATGACGTACTGGAGCGCTACAGCGAGATGGTGCAGAATACCTCATACGATCTCAAAATCCATCTGCAGCGCATTGACGAAAAGATGGCGCTGTTGACGTCTGAGATTCCCAACACATCTGACATTGACCTTGAAGACGAGCGAGCAGTGACTTCGCACTGCATTCGCATATGCGAGGATGCTCAGTCGTATCTCGACTCTTTGATTGAGCGGGAGCGCCAGGCCCAGGTGCAAACGCCGCCACCGGATCTCGCGGCGACTGAGTCGCCTTATCTCGAAGTGCGCCGCGAGACACACAAGATCCTCGGCGAGAACCGAGATAGCATCGCCGAACACATCGGTCGTCTCCGAGAGCGCCTAGAACGGCTGGCGTTGGATGGGAACTCTGGCGGCGAGCTGGGGAGGAATCAATTAGAACAGGACATCAGGGCTTCGGTTCAATGTCTAGAGGTCTGCAAACTTGCCTCTGGTGAGGTGTCCCGTCAGAGGATACACACCATTGGCGAGGTCATCGCCGATGGGGATAGCGATCAAGTTGTCGTCACAACGTGGGCAGACGTTTTCGACGTCAAAAAGGCGCTATCAAAGGGCAGGTCGGCGCAGTTGATCGGTTCGATGACGGACGAATCGCTCCGCCAAATGTCGCAAGACCGATATCGAAGTCGTTTCGGCTCGTCGGCTCGGACTTAAACCGACGTGAGTACCTCGGATGCCAGCGTCGAGAGTTCGAGCACGCATGGCCACCTCTCGCATCAGGTCGCTCTTGACAGCCGGCGACGAAAACCTGATGCCAGAGCCAGGGCAGGTCCTAATGAGACGAGGAAAAGGACGATGGAAGGAGAATAGAAGCATGTCGAGTAGTGCCATGCAGATCGTTTTCGATAGCAATGCCACCCACAGACACGCTACTCTATTCTCGGAACTAGCCAGTCTGCCGGCCGGCCGCATGAAGTGTCATGGTGAACGGCCCCGGAGCTGGGTACCGGGACTACTGGAGCATGAACAGAGCTTCCGGCATGGGAAGATGTGCCTTCTGGTTTCTTGCGCTCCAGACCGTCGTCTACAATCGCAGGCATACTCGGCTCCGTCAGAGAATTCCCTGTCGGCCAGTGCCATCGCGCGCTGGCCTCTTGGGCGCACTTGTTAAATGGGGAGGGATGAGCAAGAACTTGGCTGGGAAAAGAGGCAGACGTTTGATGAAGTCGAAACACTATTTGAACATCAGAGTAAGCTGTCAAGTATCCAGTTTGTATAATAAGTTGAAGTGGTCAAGGCTAAAGAAGATGACTATGTTCTACAAACATGCAGTACAACACATCTCATGGGCCAGCACTCCTCCGTCCTGTCCTCCGTCCACCGATCATCCTACCACTCCTCCTGTGTCCTATTCCCCCCGCCTCGTCCCTACTCCTCCCTTCCCACCACCTTTACAATCACCTTCCCCTGACACCTGTCCGTCTTCAGCCTCTCATACGCCTCATTCACCTGGCCAAACTCGAACTTTGAATCCACCACCGTCTTCAACTTGCCCTCCGCCATCCAGTCCACGATCGGCCTCACATACTCCGTCGACTGCTGCGCCATGACCAGCACGAACCGCCTCCTCTGGCCCCCAAGAAATCCCGGCAGCAGCCGTCCGCGCACGATGTTCCACATGCTCCCCGCCGACACGCGCCCGCCGACATAAGCATAAACGCCGCCGTCGCGTAGGACCTCGTGAGACCGCTTGTACAGGTCTGCGGGCGAGTTGCCGATGTTGTCGACGATGAGATCCCACTTCTCCGCGCCGGCGCTCCCACTTTGCTTGACGAGGCTCGCAACCACGTCCTCTTTTTTGTAGTCAATCACCTCGTCAGCCCCTAGCCCTCGGCAAAATTCCACCTTGGCCGTCGAGCACGAGACGGTAACGTGGCAGCCGAGCAGCTTCGCAATCTGAATCCCATGCGTGCCCGTGCCGCCGCTGCCGCCGTTGATGAAGACCCTGTCCCCGGCCTTGACGTACGGCTGGATGCTCTGCAACGCCGTCAACCCCGTCGTCACCGCCCCGGCCGCTTCGTCCAAGTCCGCCCCATCGCCGAGCCTGACCCAGCTCTCCTTGTCCAGCACGGCGTACTCCGACAGCGCGCCTGCGCTGCTAAAGGGTTTCAGCCAGCCCACCACGTGGTCCCCTGCTTTGAGCCCCTCCACGCCCTCGCCGACCGCGACGGCCGTCCCGCTGAGGTCGCCGCACGGTACTTTGGGGAAGCTGAACATGGCGCGGGCGGCGAGGCCGAGTTCGGGCATTTTGTAGTCGACCGGGTTGAGGCCGGCGCTGGCCACCTTCACGAGGACCTGGCCCGGCTGCAGGCTCGCGGCGTCGGGCCGGGGGACGTCGGTGGCCAGCCGGAGGGTTTTGGAGATGGGCCCGTGGGTCGCGAACTGCCACGCCTTCATTGTTTCGGCCATGGCAGGCTTGGCACCGGAGATCCGGGGGGATCTGCTAATGTGATTGTTCTTTTCACTTCGGAGTCTGCTGCCGTCAAACTGGCAGACGTTTGTTCGTATTTTCCACTTTTTAGGTCCTGGGGTAGCGAGTGATAGTAGAGGAGTGCTTCGACGCGTTGCAGTTCAAGTCGACGAATTGTTGATATGTGGAGCAAGAGATGACACAAGTTGAATTCCCAAACGACAGCTTTCCCCCTTTTTGTTCGCTGGTCAGGCCTCCTCATGATGCAAGACCAGTTCTTCCGCTCGCGTAAGGCGGACTTCTTCGCTCTCAGAGCGGACATTCTTTACTTGAAGAGCGCGTTCTCATTGCTCCCGGAGCCGGTTTATATTGCCTGGCAACGAATGCAATGCAAGTCCGCTCGACCTCCGCCGCTAGGCATTTCGCTTGCGGACCTGCAACCCCCATACCAGTGCACCGTAGCAAAGCCATGGGAAAAGCGGTCAAGGGGAGGTGCGGCAGCTGAACACTCAGGGGTCGGGATGCGAAGGCCGGGTGCTTCAGCACACGGCCAAGAGAACATGACCCACCAGGTCTCGACATCTCAAGTGTCTGGTGTTGACCATGGCAACCCCTGTCGCACGCGATGCATGTCCTCCAGCTGGACCTCGATGGTATACGCTAGGATTTTACCAGGTAAAAGCTCGCAGAGGCGATGGTTGATAGTATTCTGACATAAGTAGCAAACTTGAATTCGAATGTATCGCTCCAGGAGGTATCACCATGTTTAACTAAGCAATTCATTCTAATAGTGGGGATTCTTAATGCAGTAACTGAGCCTAGCCGTAGAAGTATAGGTTAGAGGAGTGCATCGGCAGGGTCACCATGCCTATAATCTTCAAGTGGATAGGCAGGGCGTAGCAGTCTGCCAAGGGCTCAAAAGATGTCAAGACAGCTAGAGACCGCTATACCTATTTGAATCCACTAATACGAAGCCTGAAACGAGAATGAAGCTGGGTAGGTGAATCTCATCCACAGACATGTTTATCTGTCAAGTGCAAGCCGCAATGTCTTGCGTTTCCAGGGACCCATCATGCGGCCTCTGGACAGAAGAATGAGCATGGCGTGGCCAGGAGACGCCATGTCCCAGGGTCCAGAAGCCAAGATGCTCGCCCTGATAGCCTAAAACTCCTTGGCTTAGATCCCATTGAGGCATTGTTCCAGGTCATCTGATTCCGTTACGCCGTTAACCTCTAGACAGGAGCCATACAAGGGTAATTCGTAGACTATCCTGCATCCTGGTGAGATTGTTGGGCACGGACCATCTGCAACTGAGTCGTCGGAATCCTGCCCCAGCTGGTGATCTTACCCACTCCCTCTCATCGCCGTCTTGTTCTAGTTCCTAGATCAATGAGTTGTAGAGCTTGTCCCGAGGCCCATCTCCTGCCGCCACGCCATGCGCTTCGAGTGTGATTACCCGAACTGCCAACGCTCGTATCTCCGGAAAGAACACCTTTCAAGACACCAGCGCAACCACGCCAACCTGCGATCATTCGCCTGCGCTGCATGTCCAGCCACCTTCAACCGCAGGTGAGCTACATTTGTCCCATGCGGACCTCGCGCACTGGAGTAACGTGACTCGCAGCGATCTTTTGCACCGCCATGAGGCCCTGAATCACGGGCAGCCTGCCGGCTCGGTCGACCCGGTCGACCCGGTAGTGGCCGAGGGGAGCAGCGGGGCCGTGACGCTCAGCAGCCCGTTGAGCATCCTCCCCAAGATCAAGGAATTAGCCGGACCGACATACCTTGACTTGTCAGCAAAGTCACGAAGCGAGCTGCTCGACGCCCCCGACCGGGTCGAGCTGCAGAACCTCTATTTCACCGAATTCCACAAAGAGTGGCCCATACTCGACAAGGATGATTTCTACCACACTCCGCAACCACCATCCCTCGTGCTATCTGTCCTGGTTGTGGGTATGTATATGAAAGGCACGCCCGAAGCCAAGGCCATGGCGCTCAAGTACCACGAAGTGCTGATCAAGAGCGCCCTCCACTTCGTGAGTCCACTCTCTGCTCTCATGGCAACCTCCCTGTGAGGTGCAACGCTCACGAAGAAGCGCAGTTCAACATGATCATGCCCCTCGTGCCGACACCCGCCCCGCGGCTGGATCTCCTGCCCGAGATCCAGATCCTGATGCTTCCCGTCATACTAGCACTGTACTGCTGCAGTGACGGGCCCTATCTTCTCCAGGTGCTCATGTGCAACAAACACCTCTTCACGCTCCTTGAGAATATGGGTGTGTTTGATCAACGCCGGATCGATGCCGAGGTGTCGAGCGAGACGCATCGAGAGCAGTATCAGCGGTTGGAAACCCCTCTCGACTATCATGTCGACTTTGCAGGCTGTATTTGCTGACGAAACCAGATTGGCGCTCATGCAACTGAAGCTGTATCTCCACGTGAACACGCTCATCATCGAACGCAACGCACAGTTCACACTCAACAGCCTCCTGAGCCCTGCCAAGGTCAACGTTCGGGTACCGGTGCTGGGGCGCACCAAGCTCAGGGACGCAGGCGGCGCCGTCCGACGAGGCCCGTCACTTCTCGTTGGGAGCTTATTCGCCAAGGACGCGAACCCGAGGAACTTCAGGGACATCTCTGAGGTCGTAGCTTGGGACTTTGCATTAGGCATGGCGCTGGGGTGCTATCTGGCTCGGGAACCCGGCGAAACCGAGACTGAGTTGATTCAAAGGACGAAGCCGTTTCTCGTATTGCGCTGAAATGACACCCGTTGGTATTCAGTCACCTCCAGGCCCGCCCTTGCCCAGATCTCGACGCACCCTCCAGACTCTCGAACCCACCGGCCGCTTCTCATTCCCGCGCAGGACCTCGACCCATGGCGTCTCGGCCACATCGCCGGCCATACCCAGGTCTTCCGGCTCAGCCTCCGAGTCGTCATTGTCTGTATCATCTTCTGTGATCTCCGTCTCCCTCTCGTCAACGGCAGTCTCGCTGTACGTCCGCGAGTATGAGTTCTCAGTGTATGCCCAACCAGGCGTGTCAAACCTACCGTGCACCAGCACGAGCTGCCTGCCCGCCTTGCGGCTCTCCTCAATGGCGTGCATCGAAATGGGCGTCAAAAGCTGCAGGCTCTTCTTCGCAACGTCGATGCCGCGGAGGAGCACAAGGCCAAGAGTTTGCGAGTATCGCGGGTCGAGTGTCTGTGACGTAGGGTTGGAGATGAATGGGATTCCCTCCGGAGACCGCGAGACACGAGGTCCCGTCGCAGTTGCGGCTGGCTTATCGTCCACGTCCATACTGGTCTCAGGATCCACAGAGACATCACCGAAGGCTTTGAAGTCGACTTCGGGCAGAAACCTCAAGGCCTTGCCATCCTCAATCTCGACGAGCGCCAGAACAGATCCGTTTATCGCTTCCGCCAAGAGGTTCGCTGGAGGCTGGGACTCGTAACTGAGGATCGCCAGGAACCCAGAGATGTCTCCGGCGTACTGCACCTGCAGAGGAGGGACACTTGTCAAAGGAGCAGGGTTCCAGATGACCTGTCCAGTACTTGCCCTGATGGAGTGGAAATACGACATGGTCTGCATAGAGCGCAGATGGGCCGCTGTTCGCGAAGTGAACTCCGTTTGCTGCGAGGGTAGAGTCGTGAAATTAGTCCTCGTGGCGCTGCGTAAAGCGTCAACGCTCTCCGTTGGTCCGTCCTCAGACATGTAGATAACGTCCGTCGGCGCTAATTTTGATATGAGCTCCGTCAAAAGATCAAGACCTGTCCCGAGAATCCAGCCGGGGGTGTTGATGATCAAAGGACGGTTACGCAATGCAGATTGCTGGTAGTGATGAAATAGATCTTGGGCACATTCGACATAATGCTCGGGGTCTGCTGCTGGTGAGATGGATGCCGTGGCATGACACCGGATGACGCTTGCATCAGTGGTTTCCGGTACGGCATGTGTGAAAGAGGGGCCTAGATTTGGCGTTTTGACATGGACAAGCGACATGGTGCCAGCAGGACTGAACTCAGGCTGCCCAGGGTCGAGGTCCAGTATGGCCACAGCAGGTCTCTTCGCTCGTTGGGACGGCGACGTTAACAGCCGGTTGGCCAGGATGCGGCCGAAAGTTGATTTTCCTGAGGACTTTGGCCCGCAAAGAAAGACGACCGGCGCCTTGCTTCCCCCCCTGGCCACAAGTTCCGCCAGCTTCTTATTCCAGGCGGGATGCGACACCAGATCTTGAATCACAGCCTTTTTCGGCGCATCGGCCGCAGTTCCGATCTGAAAGGTCAGATTTGTCCATGATCGGAGGGTATCATGACTGAGAAGGTACATACAATCTGGAAAGTTGAAGCCAGTTCACTCTTGGCTCCTGTTCCAGGCTTTGAAGGTTCGTGCCAGAGACTGCGGAACATAGGGGACAGCCTCTCGAGCCGGCGCAGCTCGATGGCTCGGGGGTGAGGATGCAGCTCAATCTTCGTATCCTCCGAGCATCGCAGCACAGGAATGGCGTGGCAATGGGCCGCATGTGCCCATATGATGTTGTCGGTTTTGTTCAATGTTGCGCCAGCGATGGTGACCTCACCGCTGACGACACGAATACCGAAGCTGCCGAGAACAAGAAATCGCTACACTCATGTCAGTCGCCAGAGGTTGGACTAGCATTTGAACAGCCCCACCTCGCTTGTGCTGAGTCTCAGCTGAAGAACGCCCCCCGCGAGTTTTCGAGCATTCTGCTTGTTAGGCCTGAACGTTGAAAACTGCTGTACAGGGGCAAGAGGCAGGCCATTGTCGCTGGTGGTCAATGACGCCCCAGATACAGGCTTTTTGGCTGGTGATTCCTGAGCTATGACGGTGGCTTCCCGGCCCCCGGGGCTGGGCGAGGGTTGCGGTGATGGCGCATTCAAAGAAACTTGCTTCCTTGCGGATCGTCGCCCAGCAGGCAGTGCGGCTGACGCCGAGATCGGGCTTTTAGGAGCTGGCGAGGACGCTGAGCTTGAAGGCTCAGAAGGAACCGCAGTGGTAGCCGTACCCTTTGCAGCCAAGAGCTGGCGGCGCAGAGAAAAGGCACTCATAGCTGTGGCAGGTTAGTGGTTGTTCGGCAGAGATGCGGGATCGCGCTGGCACATACGTGCGAGGTCATCGTCGGACTCAAATCTTCGGCGTTTTGGGGTGCTCATTGGCGAATGTTGTGAGGTGCCTCTCTGAGATCAGGCCGTGCTGACAACATGGGCAAGTGAAGATGCTGGGGATGTAGATTTAGGTGACCAAGCTTGGCTGGTCCAGGTTTTCGGCAGGTGTGTGGGTCGCTACGACCAGTGTGAAGAGTAAGGCTCCTTACTGCACATCAGTGACATGGGGTGCAAACCAGTCAGTCAGTCTTTGGAATCAACCGTCCAGGTTCGAAGAAGTTCGGAAAAAAACAAAAACATGCCATCAGCCCTTTGACAAAGCTGCATCATCTCACGAACCTTACCTCTTGCCTTCTTGCCTTCTTCAAGAGAGACCATCTTCTCCGGGGTGCAAGAGCAGCGGAAGAATTTCGGCACCCTCAGAACGCGCTAGGCTGAAAACGCGCCATCGATTGGCTCCTGCCACCCCAAGCTGCCTGTCCAGTGGGACCTTCCAACCCCCCGCTTGCAGCTTCGATCTTCACCGCGCCTGCTCCAAAAAAAAAAATCCCAATCGTCGTCTGGAGCTTGTTTGACGAGTCGCGTAATACAAGAAAAAAGTCCCTATTCGCAACTCCAACCCAGGCCAACATCGCGCAAGGCCAATCGATTGCGACAACACATTACATCCGAAGGGCTGTTAGCATCAACATCATGTCGAAGCGCCGTAATCTCGACGGTGTCGCTTCGCTTCGCGGTTTCCTTGCCAAGGCCGGTGATGACCTTGACGCTACGCCCAGCAGCCAGTCGAAGGCCCAGACCAAGAAGAAGGCTGCATTCGATCCCCGCGCCGAAGACAGCGACAGCGAGAGCGAAGCCGCCAGCAACAGTGACAGCGACAGCGATGCGGCCCTTCCTGACCCTGCGTCCTGGAATCGCCTGAACAAGTCAACATCGACTCCTACCAGCCAGAAGGGAATCGCGCCCTCCAAACGTACCCCGCGCAGCAACAGAGAGGAGGTCGCCGATAGCGACGACGGACGCGATTCCAAGCAGAACAAGAAGAAGGTTGTCAAGAAGGCCGCATCCTCTCCCTCCGACTCTTCCTCCGACTCTTCCTCCGAACCTGTCGCCAGCTCTGACTCGAGCGACTCCGAAGACGAGGCGCCCGCCAAGAAGATCACGAGGAAGGCTGCTTCAAAGGAGAAAGAAGACACGTCGTCCAGCGACTCGTCTTCTCCTGCCGCCTCTGGCAGCGACTCGGACAGCGATTCAGGCAGCGACGATAACGCCAACAGTAAGAAGGCTGCCAAGTCTCTGATGAATGGCAAGGCAGCGCCTTCCAAAAAGGCTGCGTCAACTTCCAGCTCCGCCTCTAGCTCTGCTTCCGGCTCTGAGAGCGAGGCTGAGGAGCCTACCAAGAAGAGCAAGAAGGCCAGTACCAAGAAGACGGCCCGCAAGGAGGCAACTCCTGAAGAGAGCTCAGGGAGCGAGGAAAGCGAGGCGGAAGAGCCCACCAGTGCTGTTGAGACTCAGAAGGAGCCCGAGAAGGTGGCCGAATCTCTTGCCGTTGCGCCGCAACCCAAGAAGACTGCTACCAACGGCTTCCAGGGCGAGAACTTTGTCTTGCGCCCTGTGCAGGGCGATGAGGACGGCAAGGATGTGCAAGACTTTTTCGCCCAGGCGAAACGCGAGGGCAAGCAGTTGTGGTACTTCACTGCACCCGCCTCTGTCCCCATCAACGTCATTGAGCAGCTCGAGATCCCCATTCATAAGATCCGCAACGGCGAGCCGGTCTTCAAGCATGACGGTGCGGACTACGGCGTCAACGTCAGCAACGAAGCCGCGAACCCTACCTATCAGGTCCTCATTCCGAACAAGAAGGGAGTCCGCTATGAGCCCCGTAAGTCCACACACATCTCGAATCTCCACAGGATCGCGCTAACACGGGTCAGTCGCGCAAAACGTCGATCAGGTCATGCGCATCAAGCGCATCATCCAGGTTCCGAGCCCTGCCAACGCCGAGGTTGCCACTCTGCCCCTGGCATCCAGCAAGGGCGTCCGCCCTCAGCCCAAAGGCCTCAAGGCTAGATATCACCCTATTGGCGTGCCTGCAGACGAGGATATGGGCCAGATTGGATCCGAGTCGGGTGACGAGGCGGAGGACGTTGAGATGACGCAAGCCCCCGCGCTGCCCTCTTCCAGCCAAAAGTCCAGCAAAAAGGCCTCTACCACAACCAAGAAGGCGAAGCGCAAGGCGGCCGAGGTTGATGAAGAGGCTGCTTCCTCTCAACTCGTCGGAGAGGAGGAGGCTGCCCTGAAGAAGAAGAAGAGCAAGAAGCAGAAGCGCTCAGCCGAGGACACACCAACCTCTACCCCCGCCGCGCCCTCTCAGGAGCTCCAGACACCGAGCCAGCCCGAGCTCCCGGCGCCGAAGTCTGGCAAGAAGTCCAAGAAGGCCACCTTGCCTGCGCCCGCCAGCTCGCAGGCGTCCAAGAAAGAGACGCCGATCCTGCCGCCGGCGGTGCCGCATCGCGCGTCTGTATCCACGCCGACTGTGAAAAAGGAGAAGAAGAGCAAGAGCTCGTCCGCCACGCCAAAGCCGAAGTCGAAACAGGCGCGCCCGCCAAGCCCGTAGAAAGGGAATTGGTGGTGAGTGTTTCACGTTCGGAACATGTTGCTGCGAACCCGTTGAGGCGAGAGCAAGCTTGCTCGTGCTGCAGAACGACAAGCGGGTGGGGACAGTGTTGGTGTAAAGTTTACTCTGCACTGGGGTTGGCGATGAGAGACGTTATACTTCGCCATTCTACCGTGGATGTGTAACCTCGAACGCACCGTCTCGTACCCCTGAACTCCTCTCCCCTTATCTGCACGACTCCGCAAACCCGGCCTTCGTGGCTTGAGTTGAACCAGCCACGATGACATTGCTCACTTATATCTCTTGCCCGTTGCAGAACCTTTTTTTTTTCTTCTCACACTTCTCGGCATCCAAAATAGGATGAGCGGTCCGGCGTTCGGCTTGCTTTATTACGCGGGGGGGAAGACGTCGTAGAGGGGGGTGGATTTTTCTCTCAAGCTACGTGGCCCAGATTCTCCGGTCGTCATAAGGAGGAAAGCAGGGACGGCTCGGGCGGGCGGTGATACCAGGCATGAGGTTCTTCATCAACAGGCTATGCAACGCCAGGCGTGCATGCGCAGGTAGTCGCTTGTACAGACGGCCAATCGATGAATGTGCCAACCAGTGCCACGTCCGAAGCTCGTGATGAGCACCCTCGCGTCCCCGCCTTTGCCCTTCGCAAATGCGAAAAAGCTGTGCTGATGTTCACATTGAACGGCTATCAGCCGGATAACCAAATTCGCGATCAGCGGATCAACATGCGTAGCGCCCACGAGGCCCCACGGGCTCGCTCGACGCAGGGCTGAAGGAGCCAACGGCCGTCGAGAGGTCTGCAACGTGCATGCTTCCGCGGTTGCTGTGTAGAAATGGGGGCGGGAAACCGGGTGTGTATGTATATATGCCGGCGCCCTTCAATCTTTTCTACTATTATTTTGTTTTGTTTTTTTGAGGATCAATTCATCCCGCTTTTTCATTGTTCGTCGCGATGTTTTCTCATGACGATGATGTGTGCTACGTGGGAAGATTCCTCGACAATACAACAATTGCCTGCACAAAGCTGACTTTTTCTTTCCAGACCTGCGACGCAAGTGACTTTTGTCGCCATTCATGTAAGTTGGCCAAGGGGGACATGGTGGACATCATGTCGAATCTAAACGACCAACTCGCGACGGGAAGATGAACCGCGTCAAAAGTCAGCGATGGTCTAGGAGTAAGTTCCATTCCCATGTCTTTCTCTCACAACACCTACGTCACACGCGAAAAAGAACCCGGATTATTCTCATCTCTCATCTCAATTACTACACAGTAGCGAGTGCTCTACCTCTACCCCGTGGTATGTTGGCCTCCGCATTACGTTGCGACACTGCTCTCCGCTAGCAGGCGCAGGCGGAGGACCCCGGAGCCGCCAACAGCCCGAGATCCCCCTTTCAAATACATTACTTATATGTTCTATGTTCCAGGTATCCCCGTTCCGTTGGTCTTATGTGCAGTTCTCCCGGACTGTCAAGCCTGCGTTGGGATTGTCCGTTTCACATCGGTCGTTCCTATGCAAAATGTGGCCATTTCGTTCTGTCGTTGCCCTGCCCCGTGTCTTTCTTTCCTGCAAGGCCGGCGAGACCCCAGGCTCCTGCTGGTCGCCGCCTCCATTATGTAAAAACACCCTGGTACGCCATTGCTGTGCTGATGCAAGAAATTCGAATGCTGTTTGGACGGTCGTCGGATGAGAACGAGTCTTCGTCGCTCAGCGTGAAGCGAGTGGATTGAAGCGGCTTTACCCACCAAACGGTGAGCGTGCCAACGTTCGGCGGACCGAAATTCTGGTGAAGAAGGTTTGCCAAGTGGCAGTTTGCAACCGTTGCTGGGTTACCTGATCACGACGACTTCGCTGAGATCGCCGTCATGTGGTGGGACGCCGCCATCCCACATGTGACCGTGAGGTGTCATCTCGACAGAGAAAACGCCTTGCGGGTGTCCCTCGTCGGACGGTGCAGGACTCAATGTGCCGCTGCCGCTCGTAGAGAGTGTGCTGCAGCTCGAAGTGCTGCCAACGGTCCATTCGTCGCTGTCGGCAGAACGTTGGCGGTGCATCAAGCCGAGGCTGTAAAAGTCGCCGTACTCCTCATCAACAACCTTCTTCTGCTCGCCAATCTCGACATACGTGTACTCAAACCGGGTCGCCTTGTCTGACTGCTGCTTGGGCAGGTATCGGGTCTTCGCGGTGTAGAAGATGGCTGCAGAAATCAAGGATCCACCAACAAGGTCGACAGCGTAGTGATGGTTGAGGTACATGGTCGCCCACCAAATCCAGGCAACGTACGAGATGAAGAAGGCACGGAATCGGGGGAAGCAGTAGATCATGAAGAGAGCCTCGAGGACTGCATCGGCGGCGTGAAGGGAGGGGAAGGCACCAAAGGGGAGAGGGGCCGTGGTGAAGTTTGTCGTGTACATATCAACGCCAAAAATCTTGTCGACACGAGCAAGGCCGGCAGGCGAGCCCTGCATTCCGTAGGCGGCTGGCGCCAGGCCGTGCTCGTTCTCGTACCAGGGTGGCGTGCAAGGGAACACCAGTTGCAAGGTGACTCCGAGAACGTTCAGCCAGCCAAAGGCCTTGGCGAAGACGGGCAGCGTCTTGGGGGCTCCGAAGGTCCAGATGAGGATGGAGCAAATGGCGGGATTGGCGAAGTGACCGATGCCATACGGCAACCAGGCGAGAATATCGAGAACCGCGTGGGTGTGGGCGGAGAGAATGTTGGACAAGTTGGCGCCGTAGAGGACGTTTTCGAGGGCCGGGAGAACGCGAACCCAGATGTGCGGACGGTACTTGGCGTCGATGAATCTGCGACGCGATTAATACGAATTCGAAAGCAGGCAGGGAGGTGGTGTAAGAGCTTACCGGCTACAGAAGAAATACAGGAGGTAGGTCCAGATGGATAGGGACGGCAGGAAAAATTGATTCGTCGCGGGCATGAGCAGAACCAGAACAGTGGCGCAGAGTGCCAGAGTCTTGATGATAGGGGCCGACGGCGAGATGGCGAGGGAGAAGATGATTAGGGCGGCAAGGATGACGTATTGAATGTCGAGGATTCGCCAGGAGCGACGACGCAGGGCGCGGATCGAGTGCATGGGGTTGAAAGACGTGTTGAGAGCAGTAGCCTCATTGGAGCCGAAAACGAACCAGGCGTTGGTTGTGAAATTTGCGGTTGAGCGCTTCTTCTGATGGCCGCCCCTGCTCCGGCTGGGCCGGAAGCGACGAGGAATGGGGTTCAGTTTCGCGAAATTCAAGGTGCCGGGCGACAGAAGCGGCACCTTTGGCGGCTTGATTTGCAAGAACGAGCTGAAGTCTTGCATCGTGGCGACGTTTGGCGGAGAGGTTGCCTAGGTGCGCTTGGTGGTGGTTGTGATGGATGACGGTGGCAGGAGAAGAAAGGCAGCCCGACAGTTGGCAGCGTCGATTGGACGGGGCAGCAGGTAATAGTAAAGGCCACCAGGTAGTAGTAAAAAGGTGAGCGGCAGGGGTGACGCTTGCCAAGGAGGAACGGCGAGCGCGAAAGAACAAAACGCCGAGTGCACGTCGGTGTTGTGGGCGGACAAGCGGTTGTTTAGTCGTCGGTGCTAGTGATTAAAGCAGAGCGCGCATGCATTCGGGTGTAGCGGCGCTGGGCTCGTGCTGGCGTTGGCGCGGTGGGCTGGGCTGGGATGGAGCTGCTGCTGCTGCTGCTGCTGCTGCGGTGGGTGCTACGTCATGTACAGGGCGAAGGCGTCAACTGTGCCAACTCGGAAGCCGCAAGAGAATCCAACGACGACGACGACGACCTGTAGGTGTCCAACGCAGGTGTGAGACGACGACAGAGAAGGTTGGAGAGTGTAGGATGCTGTGAGGTTGAAAGGGTCGTCGGGATGGTCGGCGAAAGGGGAGAGAGTGGCGCGGGGAGGGAGACGAGAGGCAGAGCAAAAGGAGAGGAAATACAATACAACAGACGAGAAATGTGGATGACTGTACCCATATGTATGATGACCTGGGTCCCAAGTCTGGGTCCAAGTCTGGGTCCAAGTCTGGGTCTGGGTCTGGGCGCGCAGCAGGGGGAGGTGAAGTGAAAGGCAAGCGCAAAGTGGGTGCGCTGCCTGCGCTGTGTCTCTGCTCAATCTTACTTGGCCCTTGCCAATGTCTGCTGCCTGCCTTGCCTCGCCTTCTTCGCCTTGTCATCATCGCTCCTGACAAGCCCTCGTTCCCAGTCCCCCGTCCCCAGCAGGAGGTACCTACCTGGTCAGCCCGCGCGCGCCCGCTCAGGGAAGCAGCCACCAGTGACCAGTAGACTGGATTAGGTCGCACTGGGGGCCTGACCGCTGCCAGCCTAGCCACCTTGCAGGAAGTGTGTTTGAGCAGGCGCACTGGCACTGCCAGAGGTACTGGGCGAGAGCAATCACAGCGGAAGGGGCGGAGACCAGGGTCATGCCAGATGCCGAGCTACTAGTCCCAGGCCGGCTTGGCTTGCCTGTTCCTTTTCTCCCGCGCCCCCCCCCCCCCTAGCTTTTTTTTTCTCTTCAATTTCCATGGCTTACAGCTTACCCAATCTGCCCACCAAGAAAGATCTCTCCCCTGTCATCTGTCTCCTCAGAAACCCCCCGGCCGGCGATTAGGAAGACCCCGAGCACCGCGCGCCCTCATCCGCCCGCGCGCGCCTCGTCCCTTCTAGCAATCACCGGACGGACCTTCGGGCACTGGATCGGTCTAGCCCAGCAATGTGATGCTGTTCGATGGCCGACTCTGTTCCCGATGAGACGGGCAGGGTGTTGTTCGAATGGCCACGCCCGAAACTCGCAACCAGATGTTCATTATCTCGACAATTTACCACAATCATCCTCTCAGGTTACCTTGCCCCGCCCCCAGTTCATTCCCATGTTCATCAAGGCCACCTAAAATAGCTTCAGAATCCCTCTCAGCGAAAAACCCTCCAGATCCTTCGGGTCGTGAGCGAGCGCGATGCGATTCGATGCGAGGTGGATGGGACAGCACCTCAGAGCCCCAGAAGCGAGATGCATTATTATTATTGAGTGAGTGACCAGCGTTTGGCGCCGGAAGCCACGGCTCGAGTCACAGTACAAGGCACTGCAGGGTTTTGGGTACCCTGGTCGAGGCGCTAGGTAACAAGGGAGCGTGAAGGATTTCACCTCGCCTTTACCTTTGCCTCACCTCACCTCACCTCGCGTGCATCCTGGCGCCTGGGTCTCCTAAGGAACGAGTCCCTACCTGCCGATAATGTTGAACCGAACCGAACCCGAGTTTAATCGTCGGGCAGAAAAGCTTGCGCGACGGCCCATGCCAACACACAAGTCAACCGAATTGTCATTGACATGAAAACAATTTCGATCTCCCGCAAGGATACTGTCAGACCTGTCAGACCTCATCTCGAGCTTTGCTGATCTCCCAGCTGACGGCAAAACATCCGGCTTTGCTCGCGTGTGAATCCCCAGAGCAATCTCCCTATCGGCCCCCAGCCAGATCCTCAGAGTCCGAGGTTCCAGGCTCCAACCATACTGAGGGTCCGAACCGTAGCGCAGGTTTGCCGGATACTTCTTTGCTTGCTGACTACGAGACCGCGCCCGCCGAGCCTCCAGCTGGAATTGGCCTGGGGTCGCCCCGAAACCAACGACGGCGATTGGTGAGAGCCCCCTGTTCTTGGAACAATCATTTCGGTGAAACGCTGGGCATCCACCACACACGCGACTCGGGAGGGTTTGAGGCCTCTCCTTCATTCATCGGAATTTGGGCACACAGCTTTCAGTACTGCGTGTCAGAACGCGAAATACGGGCGCCAGGGTACGCGTAAATGGCGATGGGCGCCGGCTGATTGACGAATTTTACGATCCACGGACTTTCGCGATGTACGGACTTTCCAATCACCCAGATGACGGTCCATCGGCGTCATCCAGCCTGTCGGTCAATCCCGTTCCGCCGCCTCGAATCCACCTCTGCCGTCTTCAGCAGCGCGCACCCGGCGCTCGCTGGGCTGTTGTGTTGTCAGGCCTGCCACATGCTCCATCGACAATGGAGCTGAGCATTCTTTCTCTTGCCTCTACCCTGCCTGGCCGTCTGCTGAGTCAGGCGAAACCATGTCTTCAGGTCCAATGATGCCGCGGCAACAGACCTTGCACCAGGCTTGGATACCTTGGCTCATGTACCTGTACCTTGGGGCTCCATGCTCGTCCGATGACAAGTCCTCCCTCCCCGACCGCCGCCGCTGCAAGCTCCACATCCGCCGACAAGGCCCTCTGCCTAGTGCACAGTAGCTCGTCCTTGCATCGCTGTGTCACTGGCATGCATTGGGCCATGTCGTCATTCATTTTGAACGTCGAGCTCATCCCTGGTTCGCCGGTATGAGACAAGCTGCTCACGAGACGACTGCACTGCATTTCCGTCCTGCATCGTCAGTACGGCTGGTGTCAAGGCTGCGACGTTGGATGGCGCCACTGCTGGTTTGGGGCACCATCTGCCAAACCAACAGTGGCGTGCGCCTTGCGAGATGCTCATGCGACCACGAGTTTGACGGACGGCGGGGGCGCGTTGAAGCGCCGACGACGCTTACCTACATGCTGAGGCAACCTAATCTGCAGCCAAGCACGCGACCTCGAAACACGTTGCGCCTGGTACAACCGTTGTCGTCACAGCCTCTCGTCAACAAGATAGTGGCATGGGTGTTTGACGCACTCAGCCATCCATTCGTCATAGTATTCCCCCAGTTTTGAGGCTTGGCCTATCCGAGGCGCAGAGGATTGTGGCTCGATGGGCGGTGTTGACTGTCTCAGCCCCCTTTACTTGCCAGCAGTTCAAGGCACGAGCGAAGGGGGGCGACGTCGTGCGTCTGTCATCCAAGTTGTGCACGCATCCTGACCATGGTGCACAAATAAATCATCGATCGAGCAGTATCGGCGTGGACTGATCACCACAGCCGTAGCTTGAGCTCGGGTTGCTCGCTTTCGCTTAGCCGGAGAGCACCACGACACGCGCGAGAGTGGGAGCGCGGGAAACGCGAGCCCACGCGCGGGAACCGGACCTGTGAAGTTCCCGAGCCCGAATCACCTCCAGATGCGAAACGGCCTCCTTCGCTTCCAAACAACGATGTGAGCACACCCACCAGAAGAAGGCCCCTGGGACCGCGCTACTGCGCGCACTTCATCTTTTGTTCGCCGCTCGCCGCACTGGAGAGCGAGAACTGCGTGTATGGTTGCAATCCGAGTCGCCTCTACTGCTCCGGTCGGCGATCGCACATAGAGTCAGGCGGTCAGGCAGAGTGAGCAGCCACAGAAGAATAGCGAATCAAACAAGTACGCTCGGCTCCTAAGCACGCGACAGGCATGAGCATGTGTTTCGTCCCACCCGCGCTGGCCGTATCATTTGCAAGCGTCGGTCGGGCGCCGTCAGGAATCCAACTCTAAAATCATCGTCTGAGGTGATGCGGGGACTCGAGCTCTCCTTGTCTTGGGGCAACGCATGAGCCCAAGCCGTCGATCGGTGCGAAGAGGCGGTCGCCCAGTGAGAGTTCCGCCTCAGCTCTCCCTCGCCCTCTGATCGGGAGGCAGCCAACCAGCCAACGACGGCGACTCGTTTAACGCGGCCAGAGAGACAGCATAATCTCGCTTAATATCGCGACATGGTACCATTTGCCTGCCAGAAGCCAAGCCATCGCAGCCTTGGTCCTGTCGTCCCGACACCGCAAACTCCCGTGATCCTGCCGGTCACCAACCAGCGACGTCACACAAGTTGAGGGCATACGCTTTCAACCTCGACGCCCTGCTGCAGGGAGTCACGCTACACTCCCAGACACTCCCAGACACTACACCACGGTGTCAGAAGCCAACACCGGCAATTGTTGGGCTCGACATGGGCCCTTATCGGACATCCATCGAACACCGCAGCATCTTTTCCTGCACGGTGACACGACAAAGTGGTGCCGAAGTCCGCTCCATTGGTCATCAGCAGCCCTTTTCTGTCCGCCCTAGCGCACTGCTGCATGCTGCATGTCTGGCGTTTCTGCCGTCCACGATCCACGACAAGCCGTCAAGCACGCCGAGGTATCCGGCCTCAAGTGGTGCCAGTAATTCCGCAGGGATTGTGCGCACCACCGGTTCGACCGGTGCCTTGCTTCCCGCTGGATGAGCGGTCACGGTCGCGCGACCCGGACGGCGTCTTTCAGATGGAGACTTGCTATCCACCTTTTTTTTTTCCCACTGATTTTTTTCTACCTCGAACCCGCTTTGGCTCAGTCTGCGACTCATCTCCGGGCACCGCCGAAGTAGTGTCCCCTGTGAAACCCGACCCATCGCCTTCTCATAGGGCTACCTGCCGCCACAGGGTTGTGGCTTGTTTAGAACCATGCGCGCACAATCCCGGCAGATCAGGGCTTTGAAGTGCCTAGCCACGCGACGACTACGGTGCTACATGGCCATACTTCAAAACCACTATGCGCGTTCAGGCCTTGACGAACTCAAGTTTATGACAACCCTGTGTACAAAGGAATAGTGAAACGGTGCTGCTCTAGCTCTGTTGCTATTCGTTGGCCTTGTTTCGACTAGCAAACTTGTCTGATCCCGTCATGTACACCGTCCGGATCAAGGGTTGTTGGTCTTTGCCGTCATCAAATGTATGGTAAGTCCAGTTCTTCCTGGAAGTAGCGAACGGAGTGAATGTCCTACCGGGACCGGAGAGCACGTGTATCGGTCGGCTCGGCAGACGTTGTCATTGCCGGAAGCTTTAGAGGGCGGTCTTAACCGACCCCGGAGCTGAGTCTGTGGTTGGAACACAAACTGCACCACCTTGCGAGCTTGGCATGGGCTTGTCTTTGATGACTACTGCGTGTCAAGAGTTGCAGTCATCATTGACTGAGACTGACTGCGTTGCTTCATGTGCGAGGCCCTGAAATCAAACGAAGATGCATACGCTACATAAATTGCGGAACACTAGAGATGACCATCTTACAGCAACGTCATGTAGGCCTGGGCTCGTGTCGGTGGAACTCTTCCTCTTTGAATCAAGCCTTTCAGGCCCATATCCTGATGACCTTGCTGATCTTCCATGGCCTTTGGCCCACCTGCCATGTGCTCAATCTCTTCTAGCCGGGTCTGGTCTCACGCGTCTCGTGAGCCATCCCCAGCTCCTCCGGATAAAAAAGGGGCCTCGTTCTCGGATCTGGTGCCATTCATTTCTTGGGCTCTACTTCCCAGCCGAGGTCGTCCTCCTCGGTAAAGTCTCTTCGAGCCTTGCATCTCCTTGTTCATTTGCTTCTGTTCCTCAACTTTTGCATCTTTCATTTGGTGCTCAGTCATCACGATCCCTTTCAGAACGACAACGCAAGCGCCATCGTTCTGTGTCGTGATGAACGTGGGCCAGATGGCAATGCTCTCCCCGCTGATGGGGCCGCTAGGCTGGACTGACTGTCGATTTGGCGACCTTTGTGTTTCGCTCGCAGGAGGGACAATGTTGGGGAACGACTTCCAGTCGTCTAGATACTCGGGATCGATTTCGAGATCTGCCGTAACCAAGAGGGTGTACCTCTGGAACGTCTCCCACATCTCGCTGATCTCGCGGCAGACTTTCTCCAGAGAAGCGCGGAACGATAGGGAGTCTCTTTGACGGAGCAGTGGTTCGACGCATTTGTACACTCCGTCGACGACTCGTCTTGCTTGCGCCTCTCCATGTTCGTCTGGCGATGCACGGAGAAGCACAGATCGCAGGTGATTCGCTTGTGTTTTGTCTTTCATGTACAGAATCAGATCTGACAGCTCATTGTTCTCCGTCACGAAATATGTCGGCTGGAACATGTAGAGCTCAAGCTGGCGGGATAGGACGGCGAGGAACGAAGCAACGCGCATCAGCTTTGCCGCGGGAGTATTGGACCGCGGCAGTGGGATGCTCAAATTTCTTTTCTCGTCTTGTGTCTTCAACCCAGCCCATTTCTCCGGGTCAGACAGGACGGCGTCGTCGAGATCGATGCCAACATGTGCGACCGCCAAGGACCGAGCAAGCTCGAAAATGGCCCGCAACTTGGTGATACTTGGCCCTGGTCAGTCGAACTGCGCACCACTCGTCGGGGGGTCGTCACTTACGCTTCCTTCTGATTGAAGGCGACAAGGGGAACGATGTATTGTTCGATGCGTTTGAGGCTGTCTGCGGCAGAGTTGAGCTTCGCCTGCGTGGCCTGCAGCTCTCCTTTGGCCTTCGCCTCCAGAGTCTTGGCCGCTGCCGTATTGGCGCGCTCCTTCTCGAGACTACCCTTCATCCCCTCGATGGTCTTGTTCATCGACCTCACCCGCGTCTCCGCTTCGGCGCACGATCTCCCCTTCTCAGCAAGTTGCGTCTTCGCAGCCGTGGCCGACTTGACGGCGCCCGCGAGGTCCGCTACCAGTCTTGCATTGGCCGCGGCCAGCTGCTCCAGCTCACCCTTCTTCTGTTCGACGAGCTTATCGCTGGCGTCTATTCTGGCGTAGAGCTGCGCAGTACTCTTGCCGGTCTCCTCAAGAGTGATACGGAGATTTTCGTTGTTTCGCTCGAGCTCCTGCTTCTGGCTGAGGAAGCTCTCTACGACTTCCGTCCCATCGCTCGACACGATTGCTTTGATTGACTGGATCAGGGTCCCTAGAACCTCGTCGGGCCTCGCGATCTTTGCCATGTTGGGAGAGAAGTAAAAGGACGTGGTGCGGCCTCAAGTGATGTCGAGGCTGCAACAGAGACGAGACCATGCCGCCCATTATGTAGCAACGACGCGGGCACCTCTGCAGCACGGATCAATGTCGCCCATTCGTCACCAGGCCTGCATTCTTCGCGAGTTGGCCAGTTCGGACAGCCACAGCAGGCCAACACGTATCCTCGAAGATGGGTGTCTGCCCGCCTGCCTTCCCTGTCCTCGGTGTTCTCGATTCGAGGCTGTCGGGCAGCACGGGAGTGGTCGCGCGGCATCTCTGTCAGTCATTCCGTACCATCCATCAGGCGTAAGGGGCCGGTTTGTGGACCGCCGCTGTCACATGCAGCTGCACGTTGGTGCAAGACGGCCTGTAGGGCCACGCTGGTAGAGCCAAGCGGGCCTATCAGCGCGGAGCGGTCGACCACACCGGTCGAGTGACGATAGCCTTGGAGTAGGCGAGAACCAGGACGACCGGACAAGCGATGGGATTGCCGGACGGTTGCGTCGTCGTTGGTGGGCCTCCCGCATTTTGGGGGGGAGGGGGGGGATGTCGAAAGGCTGCGGTGTTGTGGGAGTTGCGATTGGCGATCATGGCTTGCCATCAACTCCAGGACACGTGGATGTTGAGGGCCTGTAGACATGGGATGTTCGTCTAGTCGACGAGGATAGTTGAGGAACTCATCGCCGGGCTGCACGAGCTTGACGATGGCGAGCCCCGTGCCCGGTACTAGCTTCGACGATGATCTCGTCAGCGGTGACGGGGGCCGGGTCGAAGGAGAACTCGGCCTGAAAGCGGGTGATGAAGCTACCGCGGACATGGCGGGTGCCTGTGATTGCCTTGAAGGTTCTCTCGATTTCATTGCTAGTAGTGTCTCGAACAGACATGGTCAGGAGACCGGGCCCCGGTCTTTCTCGGCGGAAGGTGTCGGCCTGGCTCACGACGACGGCCGAGGCGGACTTAGCAGCGTCAGCATTCCCCGAAGCGAACTCAGAGTCGGTGCTCCGTTCCTTTCCAGCGCAGCACGAGTAGGCGAAGACCTGAGCCTTGGACGCACATTGAGGCTTGAAAGCTCAGGAGTTCGGGCCAGCCTTACCGGCAACTGACTTACGAGCTTTGCTCTTCACGGTGCAGCAAGTCTGGTTGGTTGCGAGGTCCTCAAGCATGCTGCGGCAGATGCACTTGGCCTTCGCTTCTCCGTAGGTGACATCCGTAGTGGATTACTAGGTAGGGGGTAGGAATGGAACCTAAATTTTAACCCTCCGTAACCCTTATATACATCCTCTCGCAGTCCTGAGCCCTGAAAGAGCCCCCTATCACGTGGCTCTGCAGGTATCTCCTGACAATAGGCCAGGCTTCACGTCGCAGATCTCGTCGTCTCAGCAGCAAATGTACTTCTCAAGGACTTTATTTGGTAGGTTGCCCCTGATCGAAGCGCGTAGCTATTTTGGTAGATTTGTATGGGAAGAATACTGCTATTGCCCCTTGGATGCGCACAAGGTACGCTTGTTGATCCCGTTGCTTGATGATTGCCCGTTGGTCACCGAGGTCGTGCAACAGCTATGTGATTTGTAGTAGCATCTGAAATCGCGTGATGGACAGATCGTAAGATTCAGGCATGCTGCTTCAATACTCGCACAACTAGAGAAAAGACAATGAACAAGACTCAAATATACTACGAAGACTCTAAGCATTTTAGAAACCCAGATCGGCCGTTCTGGTCATAGTCTAGCAATCAACAGTATCTCTATCTCCCATTGCGCCTTGATCCATTACAATCTGAGCTCTCAAATCAAATCCTGAGAGAATCGAAGCGATAGAAATGGGAGCTGTGGTACTGCACCAGACAGTATATGTCAGAGCGCGTTGTTTAGAGCAGAGTGAAGAGGTCTTCCGCACGTGGTCCGCAGTAAATAGAGTGTAGGTAGGGGGTCGGAAGATATCTGAATTCTAGCCCTCCGTAGCTTAGGGGGCCCTCCGCAGCCTATATACACGTTCTCTCGTGCCCCTTAGCCCCTAGCTAGCCCCTTAGCTTGGCAGGCCCTTGGTGGCTCCGCAGGGGTCCTGACAGTGTACTGCTCGACCAAAAAGTCCTTGGCAGAAGTCTTGGGCTCGTTCTTCATCAACTCGACGAGAACGTGAAACGCGATCTCATCCAGCCTGTTGCCAATCAATGCCGCGCAAGATGAACAGACTTGCGACTCAATACACCAGTTTGCCACTTGAACGAGGAGCGATGCCCATTGTACAGATGAAGCATTTGCAACCGACGGGCTGATTTCGATTGCCGAAGTGACGCTGTACTGTGTGTTTAAGATCTTATCGGCAAGGAGGTCGTGGCAGTCTCCGCAGATGTCCACGCTCCTCAAGACCGAGTCCCCGGACAAAAGGCGCTTATCCATCACGACTTGGTAGGTATGTTGAGGGCGTGGCTTTGTTTGTCGAATTCCGTCGCTATCAATGGAGAGCTTCCAATATACAACAATGTCGCTGTGAGTTATGTTGTATTCTTGGTGGACTCGTTGCTGGCGAGAAAGGGCCATGATCTTTCCGGCATCTGGATGCTGCGACCGTTTCAGCAACTTCGAGTACTTGATGTATCGCTCTAAGCTCCGGTAGCGTCCGTTGAAAGGGGCCCAGCAGCCGGTGCCGAGGGCCGCAGTGTCTCCATAGAGAGGAACTTCACCCTCTTTCAGCAGGTTGATTCTCTCTGCAATTGAATCCATCCCGGAGTGTGCCAGGACAGTATGCCAGTTGTCCAGGGAGCCTCCCTTGACTTCAGCGTATAAATATTGGAAACTCGATTTTGGGAGCAGATGTCGTAGAGAACGTCGTGCGAGTTAGCAACGATCATCGAGATGAACATTGATGGTTTTCCCAATCGGTATTGCTCGCTGTTCTGATAACCGTAGGGTCCTTGTCCGCCACAGTCACTTACGGCCAGACGGATACACTCTTCAGGGCTCATTTCAATATCCCCGAAGCTGAACGCTCCATGCTGCTCTCTAATCCACCGTTCGTGCTGCATTCGGACAAGTTGCTGGATATCATAGCTGAGGAGAGCAGCGAGGGCGAGACCGCGCATACCGTTCTCAGGAGATAAAAGGCACATCTTTGCAACTCCGAGAGAGTGCTCGAATGCGTACTTGAATTCTGGACGGCGATCCATATCATAATCGACACTGCTGAGCATCTGGAGACAGGCAGCCTCGTCCATAACAGCATCGGGAATGATCTTCTTCATCATCCCATGCCAAATCCAGGCTGGGCAAGGGGTATGTCGACAACTTGAAGCCCATTCCATCGGCTTGCTACCGCAGCGTAGTCAGGATGGAGTTTCCAAAGTTTGCCTCCAAGGGTTTCAGGACCGACTTCGACAGCAGAAGGGCGGCATGCGCTCCTTACAGTCATCGTCAGGCCATGACCTGGAGTTTTTTCCGTCATGCCGCGAACCTTTTCGTACATAGCGACAGCGACCATTGCGTCGTGCTGTTTCAGTTCCGGCAAACTGTTCGACAAGAACCTCCATGTCGATATCGCGCCGCACGATTTAAAGTGAGCTTTTGCGGCTTCCAGCGTTGCCGAGGATTCCGTGCCTTGCAATTTGAGCCAGTCCAATACCAGTGATAACCCTTGCATCTGCTGTAGATCAACTGAAAATAGAGGGGTCGTATGGGTTGACATGTTGGAATCGTCCAAGGGCGGTGCCAAATTTGCGAAGTGAAGAAGAAACTTGGTGAAGAGGAGGAGTTTGGTGTGATACACCTATTGGTAGCTCAGTCAAGGCGCTGTTTACCTGCCTTATATGAACGATGAGTGACGATTCGCATACTAAGAGGGGATTCCTCCCCGTGTTTGCTATTCTCAATGGCTTGGACTCAGACACTTCGCCCAGGGAATGGCTTCAAAAACAAAATGGTATTGGCCATATGAAGCTACAGACGTTGATAAGAAAATTGTGAGACAAACAACGCATTTTGACGCAGTCATGCTTCTCTGAATCTAAAATACGAACTCGTTATCAGTGTCATGGTTGGCCCATCATGTTGACGTCGTCATGGAAAGTCGTCACGGTGGAGAAATTTGAGCAATGGCGTGAGAACATACTCGGGAACCTGGCTGTAAGCATGAACCGCATGTCATTCGCGTTGGCGTTTCTTGAGAGCAACGACCTCATGAGTAGCCTTGCTAGGTAGATGTGTGGTTGCGGCCACCACACAGGCTGATTCGGCATCCAGGGCTCAGGGCTGTTATCGCGAGCCCGATGGATTAGATTCAAGGTGAGGCATTTGGTGTGCGCGCCTCTCCAAACAATCTGAATCTGCTTTAGTCACATCTGAGCCAGCCTCGCTTGCTGGCGTGGTGCCCAGGAGGGACCAAGTTCCAAGGCCGGAACACGGCTTGACATGAGAACATACGCCTTGCTGTTCTGGGCTCCTATCAGGACGTGGAGGTAAGCAAAGTGAAAATGTCTTCACAGGTGATATGCGCGTGGATTTGTTAGGTACTTAGGTATGGGGGTAGACTCCATCTGAATTCTGGCCCTTCGCAGCCCTTATATACGCGCTCTCGTAGGCCCCTCGCCAGCCCCCTGCCCTGTGGCTCTGCAGGCGCCTCCTGATACCTCGTCATTGAACCCTCATCCCTTCAGCGACTATTGAGGATCGGAGATCTTCTGTAATTATAATAAAAATTGGGGGGGGGGGGGATAAATGAACTTCGATTTACTACTCCCTTCTCTCTTCGGGTTTAGTAAGTTTGGAATCGGGTTTCGGAGGCTACCTCATGATGAGGTATCAAGGGCGGGGCAGCTGTATCAAAAAAAGCCAGAAGTACTGTTCTGAGGCCTCTATTTGCCATACCTACTTAAAACTGATACACGTGCCCCCTACTTACCTATCAATCAACGATTGTATTGCGTCACTGAGATTGATGCGACCACTCTGGAGCTGCTGCATGGCGCTCGTGACACTCCTCGACAGAGAACTGGATGAAGACCGTCATACTGAGCGTCCCTGTATGAAGCAGCTAGACAAAGCTTCTCGGTCCAATACTGAATCTGGACGTGAATGTGCGCCCAGACTACGTGAGCATCCGTGGTGAGCACTCGAGATACGGCGCTGCCACCCTTCGGTACCTCGAGACAGAGCACGGTACCTATGCAAGCTAAAAGTCAAACACAAAAAGCGAAGCTTGAATAATGAAAAGCGCATGTGATTTCAGAGTTGTCCGTCAGATGGCGAGCTGAGTCTGTATAGTAGCATGCTTGATTGAGCGACTGGAAGGGTTGACAAAGGTGAACCACATACACTACCAAAGTGCTCATGCAATGCTACTCTCAACAACTTGTATGGACGGCGCATCATTAAGCCGGGAACATATGACACAGATGCCGTGTTGCTTGCCGCGCGAGACTTGTTCGCATGCCATTGGACGTGGCCCCTTCAATGTGGTAAAGGGTTTCCTTTTGGGAACAGAATAATACCGTTGCGCTCCGTCGCAAAAGAAGCAGAGGCCAAGTTTGCCGTGACACTGTATTGACTGATGCTGAATAAATAGAGCCCCTGAAGCTTGTGACGATGACAAAACTGACTAAGTATACGAGCTCGTGGGGCGGTCGGCCTGAGATTGCTCCGCACGAGGGCTGTGTCAATGAGTCCAAAGCGCGTGGCCTGTCGATCGAGCCATCCAACAATATCGACTTCTTGGCAGCTTCTAGATAGAGTAACAAGGGACAATCTTCAGGGTCAACCGACGTTCGGAAGAAGAAGGCTCTATATTGCAATGCCAACATCACGGCCTTGGCTCAGTCTGAGAGAATGGCAGGTATAAGTCTCGACCCGTTCGCGCCCTTCGAGACAATTGCGCCATTGTTGTACCCATCAGCACCATAGAGCCCCATCTCAAACTCAGCGTTTCACTCGCCATCATGCAGATCTCATCCGTCCTCGCCGTCCTTGGCTTCGCCCTCGGCGTCACGAGCGCCGCCGTGGAGGCCCGCCAGCTCACCGAATGCACCCCGATCCACACCAGCAAGACCACCTGGGGTCAACACCCGATCTGCTGCGACTACTTTGGCCCTTCCGCGGTACGTTGCGACCTCAACTCCTGTCATCCTGCCGGACAGAAAGTCCTGGAGAGGGACAGCCCCCTCGCCATGCGCCGCTCAGAACTGACCTGTCATGCAGTCCATGGAGAACTGCTGCGATCGTTCGCCCAGCACGCCGACCGGCGGCGACTACTGCGGCACCCACTTCGCCGACAAGGACTGCCCCCGCGCCATGCCCTTCATCCGCACGTGGGCACCCGAAGCCCACCTCTGCTGCAACGGCCTGCCCGAGGTACGTTTGAGCGTGCGGCGCGCGCGGGGAACGCCACTGCCTGCCACAGAGCGCCCCGCAGGCGTCTGTAGAGTGAGGACTTACATGGCTGACAATGCGTGTAGCTCAAATGCTGTGACCGTCTGGGCACCGACAAGACGGGCAAGCCCCTGTGCTCGTCGATCGGACCCCTGTCGCTGTAAGCGCATCACGTTGACAGAGGGAGTCGGGACAATCGTGACGAGGTCTGGTAACTGGAACCGGGTGCTTCTATGAGTTTGGACTCCTGGGGAAAGCCTTTTCCGTTTTTGCAGGCTCAGCCGCGTCATGTATTCTGCTCTTCAGATGCAACATGTGAATATTTCCAGACGTCATGATCAGCCGACGTCATAGTATATAAACCCTAGGACATACGCTGAATGACCGTGATTCAAATTGCTTTGATGATATGCCTAGACCGGATTGAAGTCATTGCGTTATAAAGGTTGGAAGGCCGGGTCGGCGTTAAACAGTATGGTTGCCACACGCATAGTAAAGATGTGCGGTGCATGGGCAGTAGTACTGTGTTGCGGAAGCTCGTTAATACATGGTGGCATTCGAACAGATGCAGATGAAAGACGAATGACACACTCGAATACATCGGAGATACGCTCGGTCTGCGTGACGTAATAAGAGGTGTCTGCATAGGTATAAAGAAATTCATTGACTCCTCTGTCCCATAATTATCATACCTCGAATCCAGTCGAGACGTACACAACATAAGAAGCGCTCACCATGAACTCTCTTTCTCTCTCTCTCTCTCTCTCTTCAGCGTCTCAGCCCCTCTCCGTTGGCTCAAGTCATGTGGCTCAATGGCCAGCACAATCCCATCATATCCTAGTGCTGGGCAAGCCCAGTACCTGACCACGCAGGCCTCATACGCTATGCTCCAGGTCAGATTTGCCAACAACGGCTACAGCCGCTGAACTCGTGCCGTTTGCTACATTGCACATGCGACCGATTCCGGCAGCGCGCCTGCCTTTGTTTGTGTCGCGCTTGATTTCATGCATCGTATCTCCTCAACGCGTTCCATGCTCATACTCATCGCCGCGGCGGCGGTGACCAAAGACCCTTACTCGTCTCGGTGACCCGGTTTTGGGCATTGCCAGGCTGCAGAATGGCTGGCACAGCATCGGTCATAACGACGTCTTGCAACTCAGAGGTCGTGCCGTACCCAGAGTCCTTCTGGGTCAAGCCACCGCCTCCAAGACTTATAGCACTGTCTTCCTTGCGAGTGGCGCCGTTGCCCTGTTGCTGCGGTCTTGCGCCTCGTGCCGGTTCCTTGGATGCGGCGCCGTCCATCAGGTTGCTCTGTCCCTCCCGTAGTTTGTTGATAGCACGGACTGTGTCAATGGCCGCATGCAGGGTGCGCCTGGCGTTGAAGTTCTTCTTTACTGTCGGCAGCAGATTGTTCTCGTTCTTCTCGCCTCCTGAAAGCGAACCGGCAACGAAGGCATGCTGCAGAGCCTCATGGGCAGTGGGTCTCTTGGTCGCGTCAACAGTCAGACAGCGGCGGACAAAGTCCTTAGCATCCTCGGAAACGCCGCGCCAGTACTCTGAGGGCCGAAAGTCGTACTCTGCTTTGAGGATGGCCTGCATCTCCTCGAAATCCGAGTCACGGTCAAAGGGTGTGTAGCCGCAGAGAAGGAAATAGGTGATGACGCCGAGAGCCCAGATATCAACAGGCTTGCCGTGGCCCGTCTTCTTGAAGATCTCTGGGGCCATGTAGCCGGGAGTGCCACAGGTGGTCGTCAAGACGTGGAACTGCTCTTCATCCATGATACGACTGAGACCAAAGTCCGCAATCAACAGGTCTGCGTTATCTTCCGGTGTTCGGAATAGGAGGTTCTCGGGCTTCAGGTCGCGATGGACGATACCATGGTCGTGCAGGTAGGCGACGGCAGAGAGGGTGGCTCGGATCAGGTCAGCGGCATCAGACTCATAGTACGAGCCCTTTCGGCAGATACGGTCAAAGAGCTCTCCACCCAAAGCCAGATCAGTGACTAGGTAGAGGTTGTTCATCGTCTCGAAGTAGTCGACGAGAGTCAGGATGTTCTGGTGGCCCATTGACACCTTCTTCAGGACCGCGATTTCGTTTCGAACCTAGACGAAGCGGGTGCTGTCAGTCAACTGGATATCTGAGTAACGCCACGCTTCCTCGCGACTCGGCGCAAAATAAGGAAAGACGGGAAGCAGAATGTACCATGTGCTCGCGGCCGGCCATCAGCCGCTTGTTGATGACTTTGGCAGCATAGTAGCGTCCGGTATCTATGTGGACACACTCTTTGACGACAGAGTATGATCCTGCACCGAGGGTCTTGCCCACTTTGTACCGACACGGCTGGATCTGGGCCTGCTGACGGGCAGCATCAGCACTACGACTGTTCCCGTTGGCGCTCATCGCTGTCGCCATGTGGGGTTATTCTGGTGTCGAGATGTCCAGCGCGAAAATGGGTGACAATCAATGTTGTTCGAGTAAGGCGGCGTGCGGGTTTCCGTGCCGTCTTGTAGGGCGACGTCAAAACAATCCTAGGTTTGTCGGCGTGGGGGGAGGGGGAGGTGCCCAAGCAGCGGTGGCGGACTCGGTGGGGCAGAAAGCACAGAGAGCGGACGGGGTATATCGCGCAAGCAAGGACGATAGGAAATCAAGAGGAAAGGTAACTGTTCGACAGAGACGACAGTTGCCAGCAGCGAAGAGCCGTGAGTGTTGGGTATCCAGGGTCTGCGACTCAAGGGTTGGTATCGGAGGAAATTCGCAGTGCAGATGCTTGTGTCTTGGTGGTCGAGGTCCCAGTCTTGACCCAAGACCAAGTAAGTCCCAGGTGCGGGGTGCCCCAACCGCTATTCGGTAAGAGCAGGTGAGCAGGGATCGGCGGTCGCGCCTATCAGCTTCAGGGTCTCGACAACCATGTCAGTTTCTGGACTGCTCATCAGACTAAGGAGCCGCGGCCGCACTTAGTACTGGTGACGCGATGTATTGGATTGATAGTTGTCTGTTTTCTGATCAATGCCTCATCTCTGGTAAGAGTGGTATGATTCTCAAACAGTAAGAAAGTAGAAGAATCAGGCGCCGCAGCCAGCCCAGGGGCGGAGGATCTGGTGATAAAGATCAAGCTTCACATGACCCACAAGCTGCTCACAAACTCTAGCGCCTTGTGGCTGGCGAAGCTGAACCTGCGGTTCACTGGTGATTCTGAAGAAAGAACCACGCCCCCGATCGTTCTGGTCATGTACGACTTCAGCTCCGACGTCTACTCTCTTTCAGCCGCAGCTCGAAGCAGGCTGGTCCGGTCATGAGAGGAGAAGTTGGCATGTCCTACATGCTGACCTCGTTTACCATGCTATGCCCCATCACCTCGGGTTTTTCTGTCGCCGCCATTGATCTTGATAGCTATGCCACGACCTCGTGCCTGATCTCAAAGCACGGCTTTAGCCAGCCACAGTTCAGCAGGGTTGATGCGCCTCCCTTCCAATTGCTGACGAGCCCGTTCCATTCTCTGCTTCAACTGCTGGTGGTCGTTAGAGCTGCAGCTTTTCAACGTATCGACCCGACAGGCGGGGTCTCGTCCTGCGCGCCCAAGCCGCTAGACCGCCACCACGCGAGCCTGTGATCGATGAACCATATTTTAACGACCAAAAGTCGCTTGTCTTGTTCGAGGCACCCTGACAGCTGCTGCGACCGTCTCGCGCTCTCTGAGCTGAGTGCCGCCGAAGACCATGACGGAGACGAGACAGCAGCGAGCAAGACTCATGGCTGATCATTCGACCGCCCTACGGAACTGCTTCTTGGAGCTGTGCTGTTTCTTCTCACGCAGCCTTGCCCTGTCAAATGATCTGGCTCTGAAGAAATCATCAGCGGTTGATTGACATCGTCTCCAGTCCACACTCACACCTCTTCGTGCTTCTTTCGCTTTCCCGGCGTCGTTTCACCGGGGACTGACTCGCGATAGATCCGCTGGACTTCCTCAACAAGCTTTTCCAAGTTTTCGTCCGTGTTTGCATCTCGATGTCTGTGGGTTTGAGCCTGGAACGAGAGAGAATCCGACCGTGAAGTGTAATACTTGGAGGCCCGGATTCCTGGATGCATCAGTTTGGGCAAGACTGCCAATAGATCCTTGACGGACCATGCCGTGATGGCCTTGGTTTCTGTTCTGGAAGAAGCGAGTGTGAGACTCTGTCGAGACGATGGCAGTGGTGATGAAGAACTGGTGCGTACTTGTTGACATGCTGCCCTCCGGGACCGCTGGACCGAGCGAATGTAGTTTGCCCTCTGGGCAAACGGCCGGCATCGAATGATTTGTGCCAGTTCCTCGCCTCCTGCAGTTCGTCGGGATCAAACGCGGCGTCGAACGCCTGATATCTGATAGACCTTGATTGGACGAGGGCACCTTTCGTGAAGGAAGGAATCCTCCTAGCAGGCAAGCGCAAAATGTTGGAAGAAGCCATCCCTGAGAACATCACTTGACAGATTTAGAAAGTCCGAAAAGGGGGGCCCTTTGAGCTGGTAGGAGAGGCTTTGGGGCCGATGAACGGATCATTGTGAGGCACCTTTCACCAACGATGCGACGCAGCAGGCTCCCGTTACGCCGTTCCAGCGATGAGACCTGGAAGCGAAAGAATGTACCCCGTGTGTGACGCTTTGTGCACACTGTCAAATGCACGGCCCAATCCTCCAACCAGAGGACCTTGGTGCCCCCTCTTTCCCCTTTGGGTTAGCCCTCGGCAGAGTCGTGCTTGTCTTTTTCTTCACTCTGCACCTACGCGGTACGTCCTCCACCTTTGATGGACGAGAGTGGTTGGAACTTGGGGCTCGTCACTTCCGACTGGCATCAACCATCGCACTTGCTCTCTGGGTCAATTCTCCCTCCTGCCACTCCTCCCACCTCCACCTCTGTCCCTGTTCGTGATCCACCACAGCCTGGATTCCCAAAGTCTACTGGAACACGTGAATCCATCTACCGGCTTTCCCCTCATGCTCAGGATCCATGGGCCAACGTTCAGACCATACCTAGACCGCATCCGCCGCCCACCCACTCAACCACGCGACCATCCTACGTCTTTCAGGCCGAGCTCTCCTTCGAAATCTCTTTGCGTCCTCCTCGGGCCAGGTATAGCTCGCTGCCTGCCATCATCGTCGACGCAGCCCTCCCTCGGGCTACTTTTTGATCAAGTGCGCCGACAGTTGCTAGTTTGCAACGTGCACTACTTTGTGGAACCGTCGTTGCCATCTCGCCGCGCCCATCACAGCCTCGCTTGCCTCGCCTGCCTCGCCTTGGGCTCCGCGACCACCACCATTGCAGAGTCTTCCCCAGGACCCAAACCCCGCCCTGATCCCCTGCCACCCACCACTTTCCAGCCCGTTCTGCTCTAGATCAGACTCCAGCTCAAAGCAGAAGGATTGACCTCTTGTGCGCATCGTATCAATTGCCAACATCCAACCCCCCATAACAGCGCAAGCGTCTGCAGGTTTTGCAAGTGCGCGTGCGCGGCGTCATCGAGGCTCACTTTCCATGCCAGGTTCGGCAACACCAGAGATCCAGGCCACGGCGGCCGACCTCTCGCCAGTATCCCCCAATCCCGTGCACGCCGTTGCGCCTGTCGTGCTTCCCGCCCTACAAGACACTGCCGACATGCTTGATGCCATGACCGAAATGCCATCGGTTCAGGAGATCAGAGACGCTGGCCTGAGTCTCGTCCCTGTCTCCGAACCTGCCCCGCCACTCGCCAACACGCACAACGATCAGAACATAAACGACAACGATAGCGAGCTTGACAGCCTCGATGAAGCATACAAAGGAGAAGAGGGGGATGCGACAGGCAACCCACTGCAGAATGAACAAGAACAGCCTGATGCCGTCGAGGATGACTACCTCAAGTCCTTCGACTCGCCTGTTCAGGATGAGCTCGACACCGTCGCGGGACAGCATCATGTATCCCAAACAGCAGACTCCCACACAAATCACCTTTCTTCCGATCTTTCGCAGAACGCTCAAGTGGTTCCCGATGTTGACTCGTCCACGACTCGGCAGCCCCCAGCTGCCCAGCCTGCCTCCCAGCCAACAGCCGATACCATCATCTCCAACGGACGCCCAGAGTCCGCGAACGGCGATGCGCAAGCCATCGACATCTCCCGCCTCGTGGCCGAGATGACCGCCCAGGCAGATGAACATTCCGCCCAGCAACCCACCCTGTCCAATACCCAGCCAGAGCCTACCCAGGACATGCCTCCATCTGCGTCTGCTTCGCTACCCCCCAAGCCTCCCGTGACAGACGGTGCTTCTCTTGTTCTTGCGAACCCGGATGACATCCATCTGCTTCACCAGCCGCACGGCGTGGCGAATCATCCCACTCATTATGCAACTGCCGGAGCTACAGTCAATTTTGCCGATGCTGCCCACTTCCAGCCTCCTCTTGCTCCCACGTCGTTCAATGCCCCTGCTCACCCTAGTTCTGCCGACTTCAACAAGCCGCCCAACGAGGCTACTGATTCCAACTCTCTCTGGGAGGCTTTTAATGCTGACGAACGGAAATATATGGCGGAAGCGAGATGGGATAAATTCCCTGAAGGTTCCAGGATCTTTATCGGTCGGTCCACTCCCCGATCGGTTGTTCTTTGGCTTCCACTAATCTGTTGTCAGGCAACCTTTCTAGCGAACGAGTCTCAAAACGGGATGTCTTTAACATTTTTCGCCAGTACGGCCCCTTGGCACAGATCTCACTCAAGTCTGCGTACGGCTTTGTGCAATACCACACGGTGGATGATGCACAAGGTGCCATGCAAAACCTGCAGGGTGCCGAGGTAAAGGGCCGCAAGATTCGTGAGTTCTGCCTTTGTCCAGGCGCAGTGATCATGACTGATGGATTGCAGACCTCGAGATCTCTCGCGCGCAAAAGAAAAAGGGCGAGGACCGAAACCGCTCACCCGATAGGGGAGGCCGTGGTGGAGGGCGAGACTCCGGACGAGACTCAGGACGAGACTCGGGTCAGAGGGGTACCAACGGCTCAAACGACCGGCGAGGGCGTGACGACCGTCGCCAAGGCCGCCCTGCTTCACCGCGGGCCGGCAGAGATGATGGCTACGGCCGTGACCGCGGCTACCAGGAACCGCAATACCCACCACGCGGCCGTTCTCGTACACCGCCAAGCCATGCGCGGCACCACGACTCGTACCGTCGCCGCAGCCCCAGTCCGGCTGGTCACCGCAGCCGCGGTCACGACAATTCGCACGACGACCGACTCCCACTGCCTCGACGACACGGCAGTCAGATTCCTGACGTTCAATTCTTGCTACTGCAAGAAGTGAATCCGGAATTTGTTGACTGGGCGTCACGGGCCTTTGTGGACCGTGGGCTCAAGATTGACGTTATGTTCCTCCATCCCAGCATGCCGCGGGACGCCGTGATCCAGAGACAAGTTGTCGAGGGCGTCCACGCCGTGGTGGACCTCGACATACGGGCCAATACGACTGGCAGATTCAGTTTGCGCGTCTTTGATCGTTCGTCCAGTGGCAGCACGCGATTTGACGAGTACCAGGAGCTCGAACCCCACGTGGCCGCCGAGCTTGTGGTACGGGCCAAAACACACGCAGCGCCCGCTCCTGCGTACCACGCGCCAGCACCGGCGCAGGCGTATGGAGGCGGAGGCTACGGCCAGCAGTACCCGCCTCAGCAGCAACAGCAACCACAAGCCCACGCATATCCCAGCCAACCAAGCCATCACCAGATGCCTCCTGGTCCTGCGCCGAGCGCGGCGGCGGCGGCAGCTGGCGGATTCCCCGCCGAGCTCCTGGCGTCCCTTGGGCACCTTGACGGCGCGTCGCTGCAGCAACTTGTTGCCGCTGTGCAAAACCAACAAGGAGCGGGGCCCGGCGCGGCAGTTCACGTAGGCATGCCACAGCAGGTGAATGGACCAGTCGATGTGCAGGCCGTGCTCAATAACCTCAGGGGTGGCGTGGCCGTGACACCAGGAGAAGGTCGGGCTCCGGCTTACGGTGGCGGGGGCTACCCTCCCAATGGTCCAGGTGGTCTCAACGCACCGAGCGGGCCTGGCGGGCGGCCGCAGCCGCCAGCGTCTCCGGATTCGGCGTCACAAGTCAACACGATCATGGCGCAACTGGCCAAATTCCGGCAGTGAGGGGGCATGGGTGCTCGTGTTGAAGACTTTGTGTGTACAATAGGCAGCTGCGGGAAGGCGTTTGTTCATATTAGGGTGCGTGCTCTACGGGGTGACCATGGGCAAGTTATCATGAAGCAAGTGAGAGAGGGAGGCGAGAAGGACGCCGGAGAGGCAGTGGTTCAGAAGTACAGGAGCCCAGCAGCCGTTTGAGAAGCTTTGACCATGATCACGTTGTTCTCTGATTGCTGCGCCATGTGATGGGGTGTAAGCCGTACCTACTCTTGATGTAGCTCAAGATGCCACATCCAGGAGCCGACGGTGGGCTGCCGGTGTCGTGTTGACCCTTGCGGTAACCCGTAGAAGAGGTTCCGGGCACCTGTTCCGGGCGCCTGAGGCCGGTTCTGGTGGGCGTGGGGCAGGAACAGAAGCTGAGGGCCAATCACCAAGGCCAGGTTGCTCATCGGGGTCCCAGGGGTCCATGCCAATGCCACAGGGGAGCCACGCCCCTAAGAGGAAAGGCACATTTGCCTACATGGCTCCGCACTTTGTGCACAAGACAGCACTTGGAGGCCCTTCATTGTCCCCAAGAGGACAGAGCTCGAGGTTTGGTCGTATCGAGACCCGTTTGTGCTTGCGTGCTCTTGCTACTATCGATTGCTTTGGACGTCGTACTCGGCCTCTGCTGCGCTCTAAAGTTTTGCCCCCATACCTCTCTCGCTGCTTCCCCGAAGATTCTCTGTCTCTCTCTCTCTGTCTCTGTCTGTCTTTCCTTCCCACTTTCTTGTCCCTGATCGCCCGTGGCCCCTCCTTCCGCATCTTGCCTCGGGTACCTGCTCTTGGAATCACCGTACCTACCTCCTTAAGGCACCTTAGCTTCCTTTGCCTCCTAGGTACGGCACTTAGATAGGTACCTAAGGTAGGTACTGAAGGCAGCTACGTAGCCTTTCCGAACATGGGTTGGCCCTATCGTTTCCTCACCCTCTCGCCCGAGGAGGTCCAGCTTCGCCGCCAGGCATTGGACCGTTATGCTATCTACGCCCAGATGTCGGCCTTGCTGCCCATCTTCATTCCCTTGATCCAGCGAATCGTGGAACGGTACACACGCGGTCGAGAGGTCACTCGAGGCGCCTACGATGTCGTGCCTGACTCGCCATTGTTCAAGAGCCGGAAGGGTACTGTCGTTGGCCGCTTGCTGGCGAAAGCTCGAATCGTCCAATGGTGGTCGAGAGATGAGGTCATCATCAACGGGCAGTCCTGGGGTACGAGAGACCAATGGATGGTCGGTATGGCGTCGATGATCTGGATGCTGGTGTTGTGCATCGCAGGTACTGGCGAAGGTACGTGAAGCTTCGTGCACACATGCATGCTCCTATTCGAGACGGGATGCCCCCAGCTGACAGGGAATCAGACTACCTCCACTTCACCAAACGCCTGGGCACTATTGCAACGGCCCTCATGCCCTTCCAGTATCTGCTCATCCTCAAGTCCTTCAGCCCCCTGGCCTGGGTCTTCAACACGTCTCACGAGACCCTCAACCGCTGGCACCGAGTCCTCGCACGAGTCATCACAGCCCTGCTCGTTCTCCATGCCGCCTGCTACCTCAACTACTTTGCCCAGGTCGGCATCCTGCAGCGGCGTCTCTTTGCGCCCGTCGTCTTCGCCGGCGTGGTGGCCTTCGCTGGTCTCAATCTCCTCAACACGACGGCCCTGCGCGCCGTGCGTGCCTGGTCGTACCGCGTGTTCTTCATCACCCATCTCGTCGTTGCCTTTGCCATCCCGCCTCTCATCTTCATCCACGCTCCCTCCGCTCGTCTGTCCGTCGGCACGGCCCTCGCGCTCTTGCTTACCGACCTCGCCGTGCGCCGCCTTCGCACGACAACCTCCCAAGCTACGCTCGAAACCATCCCCGGCACGACCCTCGTCAAGATCATGGCCTCGATCCCCGGCCCCAAGGTCAACGCGTTCCGGGCCAAGCCGGGAGCGCACATATACCTCTCCATTCCCGCCGCCGCCCGTCCAATCGCCTCCAATGACGCCCTCCTCTACGAATTCCTCTTTAACCCGTTCACCGTTGCCGACGTCGATGACCACACGGGCGCCCTGACCCTCGTCGCCCGCCAGCGCGACGGGCCCCTGACCCGTCGCCTCGCCCAATTCGCCCAGCACGGCGACATGGCCATGCCATCATCGACAACGACGACCGTCTTCCCCGCCACCGCCACAGTGCCCCTCTCCATCGAGGGCCCCTACGGCGCCATGTCGAGACACTTTGCCCAGATTGCCTCGCCCTGCACAGACCGCGTGCTGCTGATCGCCGGCGGCGTCGGCGCCACCTTTGCCGTGCCGCTCTACCGCGCCGTGCTCGCCGATCACCCCGCCGCCAAGGTTGAGCTCGTCTGGGCGATTCGCGCCGCAGGCGACGCGACGTGGGCCGTGACGGGCCGTGGCGACAGTGTGCTCGAGGACGAGAATGTCAACATTTTCCTGACGGGCGATCTGGGCGTCGGCACGGCTGTCGGCGTGTCGGAGCCGCGGCGCGCGAGCTTCGCATCGTCGTCAGATGCGGGCGGTGGCGCCTCTGGCGACGCCGGCGAAGAGCTAAACAGCTTGTACCGCGACAGAAGGCGCGCCGGTGGCGGCGGCGGACGGTGGACGAGCAGCCATAACCGTCGGAGGCCGGACTTGCGCAGGATTATCGACGAGACGTTTCGCGGCGGGGCCGACGAGAGGGTTGCTGTGCTCGTGTGCGGGCCGGCAAACATGGCGAGAGAGGTGAGGAGGCATGTGGGCGCGTGGGTGTACCGGGGCCGGGATGTCTTCTTCCACGATGAGAGTTTTGGATGGTGAGTGGGTTGTGTATGAAGATGAGGCGTGAATTTCTCGTAGGTAGGAAATACACACAAAAGCTGGCGCCAAAGATGTGAGCTGTTCATGCGGGTAAAATCTTGCATCATGCAGCAACTGAAAGGATTTCGCTCCCAAGAAAACAATGCTGAAACGGCATTTGACTCGAGCACATAGTGAGTGGTATGCTGCCTAGCTCATATCGTCGTATCCCTCATGGTCCAACGCCCCGTCCGTTGCGTAAAATAGCACACGTTTCTCCTTCTAGTCATCCGTTCGTCCCGACGTTTTGAGGCTCGTCACCCGTCGCAGCGTCTCCTGCCTCGACTCAATCGCTGCGCTTCTTCGAGTCGCCAATATCGCCCGAATCACCAGCAGCAGCGGCCTCCTTTCCCCTGCCCGCCGCGACGTCCTCCCCGCCCAGGTCGTCATCCCACTCGTCGACGGCGTTCTCATCCCAGTTGTCGACCTCGTCCTCGAGCGAGCGCGCCTCGGCAGCGTCGACGACGCCATCCTCCTGCGGCCCGCCGACCCCCATCTCGAGATCCTCGCCGTCGTCCTCGCCCGCGACGGCGCCGTAGCCCCGCTGCGCGCGCCTCCGCTCGAGCATGCGCTTGTGGTACCACGTGCACAGGCCGACGCCGGCGAGCGAGCCGGCGACGTTGGCGGCGATGTCGAACAGGTCGAAGACGCGGCCGTTGGGCAGCAGCGCCTGCAGCAGCTCGGAGCCGACGGCGAGGAGGGCCGTGCAGACGAGGAGCGTGAGGTTGAGGGTGCGGCGGCGCGTCGTGTCGAGGATCCAGTAGAAGACGGTCGTCAGGAGGAAAAAGGTGAGGAGGTGGAGGACCTTGTCGTTGATGTACGTCTCGAGGTGCAGCGGCGTGAGGCCTAGGTAGGCGGCTGCCAGGAGGAGGGCGAAGAAGGTGCCTGTTTTTTTTTGGGGTTCTCTCATCAGCTACATGCTCTTTCACGAAACGAAAAAAAAACGTCAAAGACGGGAAACGGGCGGGGCTGACGAACCGGCAAAGGGAAGTCGTATCCTCATGGTGGGCGATGTGGCGGTTGTGTGGAGTGATTTGCTTCTTGGGTTCTGTCGAAGACCTGTCGAAGACCTGTCGAAGAGATAGACAGACTGAAACGATGAAGCAGCAATTGTACTGCCGCACTGCAGCTGTTCTCGTCGAGATGGTCCGTGGGGTCTGTCGTTGACGTGGTCGGGTTCGTTTGGGGTGGAAGCCTGGAGGAGACGGCTTGTCGAGCTGATCGGGAGCTTTCTGCAAAGGTGAGCTGTGGCCCCCAGCCTCGGGAGCGGCAGGCCACGGAGCAGTGACGACAGAAGACAGGCGGCGTAGCTCTCAGATGCGGCGGGCCAGGGAACAGGGGGGGGCGGACGTGGTGCGTGTGGTACGTGGTGCTTGAGGTGCGTGGGATTGGCTGGCGGGGTCTCGGTGGGACAGATGCGTGGGACTTTGGGACGTGGAGCGGTCGATGATTAATATGCGGGACAGTCTGGGGATCCTGATGAAAGTCGATATCGTCTAGGTACGATATGCAGGTCTTCACAGCGCTGCCCCCAATTGATCTGAATGGAGATGGCTGACTGGAGCTCCGACAGCTTTGAGTGAACTCACATCGCCTTCTCCCGAGACATGCCTGCCGCACTCCATATCCTCAGGTTTCCCTTTCCCTCTGATGATGCAGCGCGGTCATCACGTGACTGATGTGGGCCCATCGCGCCTGATCGCTGGTGCTCGCGTTCCTCCACGTCTACTTTGGGACCCAAGGTTCCGGTACAAGGCTCACGAAAGCTGGGCCTTGCCTTGTCGTGAACAATCGGCTGTTCACGCTGAGGAGGTTCTCATAAATAGAATATGAATGCATTGATATCAAACCAGTGAATACAGAGCGCTCATGACCTTGCATCGGACTGGATGTGGTCGCCTCATGCCAGACGCCCTTGTACCTCTACGGCCTCCACACCCGTGTCAGTACCAAAGCGTCGAGGTGCCAGGGCACCGCGCCTGGCAATCCACTCCGGTACAAGCCTCGCCAAAGACTCAACCTCACCTCTTGCGAACAAGCGAAAACACCCCTATCACGAACCATCGCAGCGTCATCACCTCCATCTACCACGCCCTCCGACTTGGGAATCCATCTCTATCGATGTCGCGCCATCCTCCGATGCAATCATAGCCCCCCTAATCCGCCCGAGTCCGGCATAATTCGAGCGCCCTTTCTGGCGCCCGGCGACAGGCCCCTCCGCTTGTCGCTGCCATCGACGAGGCCGCATCATGTCCCTCCCCAACGGCCATCACGCGTGGCAACCCCCCAACGGCCATCACGCACCCAGCAGTAAGCTTCATCAGTCTTTTGATGATGCCTCTGCGCGCAACGGCACGCCTCTCGACAATTCCATATCATTGATGCCTGAGGCACCACCCGACGCCGAGGATGAGCGACGGCGATCCCAGTTCAGGGATCTCTTTCGCGAAAGCGAATCCAGAATCGCATTGCTCTTCGGCGATGATGGCTCCTACAATCACGATGCCATCAATGCGCTGAAGCAGACTGCCCCCGCGCCTGCCCCCTTGCTCCTTGAATCGGCTGAGGACGCGCCTCAGACCGCGGCGCAGGAGCCACCGCGCAAGAAGGCCAAGCGAGTCATCGACGAAGATGACTACGGTGATGACGACGACGACGACGAAGATGAAGATGACGAAGACCCCAAGGAAAATGGCGACGCGTCCAAATCCAAGGATGCCAATGCGATGCTTCCGAGCCCCTCCAAGTCGGGCAGCTCGCCCGTTCGCTCCTTTGGCTCTCCCGACAAGACGAGCGACAAGACGAGACTGCCCGACACATCACACGACATGGCAAAAACGAGCGAGGATGCGCGCAAACAGCTGGAAGAGTCGCGAAACGCAACCGAAGAGGCGGCGCGCCGCAGCTTCCACACCGTCTTCTACACGCTCGAGAATGATCGCACCGCCATGCTGGAGCAGCAGCAGCTAGAAGAGTCGGAGAAGCAGCTGCAGGCTGAAATGGACAACAATACAAGCCAGGGTAACGCGGCCGGCGGCCAGGCCGAGAACCACGGCTCCCTGAGTAGCGCCAACCTCGGCGCGTCGAGCTTGACCCTGAAGCACCTCATCGCGAGGATAGACATGAAACGCGACCAGGTGCGCGCGTCCGATGCCGAACTGCGGTCCCTCATGAACGAGGTCCGAAAGAACAGGAGCAAATGGGCCAGCGAAGAGAACGTCAATCAGGAGGAGTTGTACGAGGCCCTGGACAAGGTCCTCACCGAACTCAAGGCGCACACAGAGTACTCGACGCCGTTCCTGCAAAGGGTGAACAAGAGAGATGTGCCGGATTACTACAACCGTGAGTTTCAACCACCCGTGGCTGCGTGCGCCATCTCGTCTGACATGAACACCCACAGTCATCAAGCAACCCATGGATCTGGGCACTATGACCAAGAAGATCAAGTCGCTCACCTATAAGTCCAAGACGGACTTCGTCCAAGACCTGAATCTGATTTGGGACAACTGCTTGCGATACAACCAGGACATGAACCATCCCCTTCGCCGTATGGCCAATGGCATGCGCAAGGAAGCCGAGAAGCTCATCCCTCTGATCCCCGACCTTACCGTGCGCCCTCGCGCCGAAGTCGAGGCCGAAGAGCGGCGCAAACAGAATGGTGGGGAAGAAGAAGGCGGCGACGACTCGGACGACGAGCCAATCATGTCGTCCCGCGGCCGCACTGCTGGCACCAAGGGAGCCGCCAAGTCTCGAAAACACCCGCCAGATCAAAAGGAGGACACACCAATGACTGACCAGAAGCCCGCAATTCATCTCAACGGGCTGCTTGCGAAACAACGCGAGGATTCGGAGGCCGTTGACAGCAGCAATGGGTTCGGCACGCCTCCAGTCGGCGCTGGCTCCATCACGCCCAGTGCCGCCAATGGTCCTTCGGGCGTCGCAAGCAATGCCGATGCCATGGATATAGATGGCCCCTCGCTGAACGGAATGGTTCTCGGGCACGCCCTGAACGAGGCTGGCGAGCAGGACCACGAAGACGAGGAGTACAAGATCTGGAAGCAGGTCACGAAGAAGGATCGCGCCCTCATTGCCAAGGAGCGTCATATCCTATTCAAGGACAGCAAGCTCAACACGGATGCACCTGCTCTGTTGCGCACCAAGGCCGGCATCCGACGCTTCCTGCGCGGGCAGAAGGAAGCAGAGGCTCACGGCATCATCAGCCACTCCCAGGCAGACTCGTCAATTGTTGCCGCCAAGGACGCATCGAACCCTGCCGAGACTCTGGCCGAAGGCATGGAAGGAGAAGAGCAGCGTGTCGTCCCCGACTACTACGAGCCTCTGACCACGATTCCAGATGTCAATCCCAAGCTTCAGTGGATCGAGGATGGCGAGGGCCAGGTCATCAACCAGCACGAGGAGTTCCTGCGCATGGTTCCCGCTGGGCACTTCTTGGCCCCCAAGGGCAAGTTTGCGAGTAAAATCGACACCAACATCCGACAGATCCAGGAAACGAGGAAGCTGGCCAGCAAGATTGGTGTGATCAAGCAGATGCAAATCCAGACGCAGGTAAGGTTTCTCTTGGCCTGTTCTATCAACCAGTACTGATTCCTTTTCAGGTCTACACCAACCAGTTTCCCAAGGTCAACTTTGACTCTTTTGTGGAGCAGGACATCGAGCCCACTTTCATGGCCGACAACGGTCCCATTATCGCTCCCCAGACTTGTCAGAAGGCCTTCCAGCGTTCCGTCGCCAAGATCCTGTACACGAGCGGTTTCGAGGAGCTCCAGCCTTCTGCGATCGATGCGCTCACCAGCATCGGTGCCGATTACTTTCAAAAGCTCATTCACACCTTCAACGTATATCGGGAGGCAGAGAAGAAGGAGGCACCTCCTAATGCAGCCAACGGTGCCAGGTTCCAACCTCGTTTCACTCCCGAAGAAGTGATTCTACATACACTTGAC